CATCACCTTCACCATCAACAAGATCAACGCCACCTACAGTGATAACGAAACCGACAACATCATCTTCAAAGAAAGCAAGTATAATGATGTATATATGGTATTTATTTGTTCATGTCGTTCAGGGATCACTATATCACAACATTGTCAGCATCATGTTAAATGTAATATGCGCTTGTTATTACAAACCCTTTTAAAAAAACTGTTCCCTGAGTCATTCCTGAATGCTCTGATCACAACATATGACATTTTGAAGGCTGCGATGGGATATTTTATAATATTTTATGTATAGGTACTAAGTTTATTTGAGAAACAGAAAGTGATCGAAAAGACACACAGACGGATGATGTGACTTGAGATATATTTGGATGGAAGGGAGATCGAGGGAAAGAAATATTAGCTACAGTTTGAGTTTGAGGTTACAAGGAGTGGGGTCTTCAGTCGGTGGATAATCAATCTCGTTATCATGAGAATATTCATTTGAGATTCTACCATGAATTTGGAATTTACTCGATTCTGATTGGTCAATCAGAGGCTATTAAATCACAATAAACCCCCTCTCATTGAAACAGCTGGTTTGACGGCCGCATCACCGCGGAAGCTAATATTCATAGAATAGTACTATTTTCTGTCATTGTCGGTAGGCATATTAAAATAACTATATCTACAATTACAGGTTACAAAATGCACAGATGCGGTTACTACAATGTTCAAAGGATGTGTGGCAATACATTTCGTGCAGAAAAACACGACAGAAATCAACAAAGGGAATGTATTTACGTTTTGGAGACAACAGAGAGCTGGAAATTTTGGCGCTTTTCTATATACGACTGTGACGTCATATTTTTTGCGTCACAATGAGCGATATGACGTTATAATGGTGACGCGCGATGTAGAACGAAAGCCTCGCAAAGCTTGCTTTGTTTTCTTTAGGGATGCCCACCTCATGTTAGGTTACCAAGTTGCCGTGCTTATATGCTTTCAATGTAAACAAACTGCTTGAGTATATACAGCATCATGTTTTGTTCGGTGATTCCGTAATTCAGATCGATGTCCCACTCAAAACACTAAACTCAACCCATGCCGCTCCAGTCAGTATATTTGCTAACACCAAAGAGTTCGCGTTTTATTTAGTCATGGTAGAATGGAGATAAACATACTGCGCGTTCGGTTCCAAATTCAATTTAGCGGGGTTAAATCTACAGGTAACCTAACTCTACATTGAAAACACAGTATGTTTATCTCCTAAATGAAAAAGACGATCTGTATCCTTATCTACTTTGATTTGAAAGAAATGCAAACCATCAGAAGTTTATTTCAGATTGACTGATGCTGATGCGGACGTTTATGAAATTTTGAAAAGTGCTTTGTTGCATATATTTCAATCGACATTCGAGGCTTTTCGATAGACGTTCAGAACGCGCAGGCTTGAAGTGGATGAAACGAGTTTGTTGCACATCTAGGCAGCTATCTGGTGAAGTAGATGCAACAGTCAATCAAACCGCCTCTATTTAATAACTTAAAATATATATTTCCTTATAGGAGCAATAATTATTGCTCGCATGTTGTATTAGAGAAATGGAATGACCTTTTCAAGGTACAGAAACAGGTGTACAGTTGAGGAAATGGCCGAAATAAAAGATAATTTCACGGAACATTGTTTCCTGATCCTGTAAGGAAATTAAAAGCAGAGAAAACTATACTGACAAAACTAAACATGAAACAATTAAACCTAGCCAGTCTGTAGGTCAAGTTTGTTGGGTCATATCGTGTCCTGAAAACCAGGTTGTTCCAACAGTTACTCCAAAAACACAATTTTCGAGTAAGAGCGATTTGAAATTTATAATGCTTGTATTTTTGAGGAGATGTTATTCTTCACTGTATTTGATACGTACACAAAAACTGTACTGACAAAACTAAACATGCAACGTCCAAACCTGGTCAGTCTGTAGGTCAAGTGGAATTAAATGTCATATATGTTGGGTCACATATCAAACGTCAATAATTACAAAACAAATATATATATTTGGATCTAAACCTTACAGATTTTAAGACCGGGACTTGTCTGACAAAACGGAAATACATTTCCAACGCGTTAAACACTCACACGTTTGTTTACATGTATAACAAATTTACCTGATTGCAATAATGGTGTATTGTGTTTTGTTTATCGTTGTGATGTGGATGTTGTTGCAGCAGACTATCCAGTACTACTTATTAGCATACCTACCTCACTCACAAATGGCACCGCATGCACTTAGCCAGCATATCTTTCCATGTATCACCAGAGAGCCTTTGTCCTTTGTACATGGGTTACACGAAGAAGGAAGGGGAGAATTTAAATTGAGAAACAGAATAGCATACGTACTTCATGTATGCACCTCAGATGGCAAACAAAATGCCTGTTTATACCCTTTTGGTGTGTCACCAGTACAGAGCCACTATGTTACAACCTTGTAATCGTACTGGACCCTATGTTGTTTTAGGATCGGTCTCATTGTACATGGGCTATTCCTGAGTGCCTTAGTTACAGTATATGGCATAGGTCTCTACTTATATTCACCGCAGACTTGATTTCATTAGCTTTCATTTGATTTCAGATACAAACATCCTGCGATGGAGCGAAAGGTGCTACGTGTACACCTGCTAGAAGTATGTTCAACCTTTCCTGATCAATACTGATTTTAAGTGAGAGGTCAACTGCTGTTTATGTTTGCTCAATTCCGCGTTAAACAATGTGTCACACATAATATCCCCATGATCATACGAAATCTCTACTTAAAGAAGAGCTCACTGAACAAATCCAACTATATCATAAACATGTGTGAAACATGATCAAATAGTGATGCCGCGAAATGCTTTTACTATTTCCCGTCCACCCACAATAAAACAGGAGCTACAATTTCAACTGGTAGTGTTTTGATGAATTAAACAGTATGAACTATATGTCATTGGTTGTCCTCTATATCGTTTGGATTTGGAAAATGTCGACGGCTTATGAATAATAACTCATAATACTCCCCAAATATTTCTAGACAACTCTGTCCGGCTGTGCAAATATGTTTATAGTCGTAATAGAAATTGATTTTCCACAGTACACAATACTGCGTGAATATATAATGCAGATTGTCCTTACTTTTCTGCCTTGCATAAGCTGTATGAATAAATACAGAAAGCAATGGCAACACATTGTAACAATAATTGTGTGAGCTTTGACGTACATAATAATGTAAAGTTTAACTGAATATCAAACATGTAATAACGTGTGTCCAAACCGAACGTTATCCCATAACAAGTCAATTTATTTTTGTCATAAACAATATTTCGAGCAAGTCTTCTACAAGATTTTATTTTGAAAATATAATATTTAATAGTTCGCATAATAGGCAACTGCTAATGGATGTCTTAGGCTTCTTACCAATCATCCAAATGAGCATGTTGAATGGCGCGTTGTTTGTTGTCTGCCGTCTCTCATTGTTCCAAATCGTAAATGCACAGAAGACGTACCAGCTATAATATGCTAAAGTAAAACACTTTAGAAGTAAGAAACACTTACGAAAAATGTATAATTCGCACGTGACCAATCTCATCAGGGTTTCTTCTTTCTTTGTTTATATCAGTGATCTGATCTGTGATCGGTTCAAATACAACGTGGTATTATTATGACCCAGCATACTTGGGAAAGCTTTTGATTATTATTCTGTGTATATATAAGTTTCAAAAAAAAGGTATCAGAGAATCTCTTCTTTTGTGACGGGTGAAACCGGTGGCGCAGGATACCCTCACCTTTTCGCGAACACCTGGTATCATCACTATTTGATTCATAAACACATGCTCATGATATAATCGGAATCTAACAATGGACTCTTAGCAGAGATTTCGCTGGATAATGGAAAGGGTTTTGTCGCTTTTATTTAAATCTGTTGTATCGTAAAGGCTCACGATTGTGTGTATATATTTAATAATTTATTCATAAATGTAAGTGTATTATTCTTTTTTTAATAATTCACTTGTTTATGAAAATACTAGTACCATGCATTTGCCCCGAGATATATCAGATATACTGCTGGCGGGAAAAAAGAAGTTTATTAATTCTTTCATTATGCTAGTATTTTAGCACGTGGCCGGGGATGAAGTGGATAGCATTATCATGATGAAGTGGTTCTGCAATATGCGAGACTGCTACATATATAATGTTGAAGATTAGTGCGTGATATGATCCTGTTATAGTGGGTCCTTATCAGATATTCATCTGCATATTGATCATATTCAAGGCAAATTTACGAATGTTGAAATCGTTTTCTCCTGTCGAAACTAAATATATGTCTTAATAAAATCCATTGTCAATGCAGTATGTATGTGAAGGGCCTACTTAATTTTTAGTCGTATCTTTCATCCGTAACGGGTTGAAACAGTCGTGGCAGGTTTAGAACTCCATTGTTATATAGATATCACGTGTATTCCGCACTGACATTACAATGACAAGTCCCAGTTTTAACCAAGGTTTAATTCTGCCTCTGGAGGAGAGACGTTGTCGTATCGATTTAGCAATCTAACGGCCGGAGCAAGAGCGTGATATAGGCAATTATAAAATATACTGTGTCAAAATATGATTGTTGTATCACCATAACCTTTGTTGTTCAGTTCAAGCTGCCTATGTTAAATGTTCGGGGTAGAATGAACTTCCCTTATCTTTATGTACTATGGGATGTCATATATCCTTTTGTTATTGATCAATTCTCTCTAATACGTTTTTCACTACCTGTCTGTGACTCCTTTTCGGAATGTTCTCAGAGAGCTTATACCTATTTGACCCATATTCCCATGTTTAATATATGCGTTCCAAAATAGTATGCCAAAGAAGTCGGTACTGTATTTGTAACATAATTTCATTACGTTTTCAGACAACGATAGTTTAAGGACAATCAAGACACAATTCACGATTATCGACAGTATTCTTAAATGCACCCTTAAATCTTGACAAGGAAATGTTTCATTCATAGTTCCTGGAAAGGTAGAAAATCTTCACATCGAACACATACAAGACAATTTTACGAGTGTGGAAGTCTTCTTCTCCTGTCCAAACGAAACAGAAAGACACGGCGACATAAAATACTACATACTGTCGTATGAAGCTCAGGTATGTCTCATTAAAGATAAAAATGTGATTACACTTGAACAGAGTTGTATTACTTTAATTACAAAAAAAGTGTACGAATAACCAATGACTTCTTCAAATTTACTCCAGCTCAAACCTGCCTAGATAACAGATAATGCGTTGCCGTGCATCATGATCAGGTATAGATATACCACACATACATATACGCACGCACGCACGCAAGCACGCACGCGCATACAAGCACACACAGAAATATGGTGGTGGTCTTCCACTTTAAGTTTACAGTGTTTCGGCGACTATTTTAAGACTAGTAACGATTTGATAACGTTTGTAATGTTTTGGTCAAATCTAATTTTTAAGTGTATACTTTCGTTTGCCCGGCAGTTTATATACACAGTTAGGAAGGAAGATTTAGGAATAGGGTGGATATGTATGATGAGTACATATGCATTGAATACAATGTATATCGAGTATGATTATTCTGTTACATTTTGACAGCGAGAACATAACCACAACGTGACAGAAAATCCCCAAGGATTAAACATTTCAGCTGAACCTGAGTCGAACTGTAACTACTCCCGGGTTGTACCCATCACAGCACAAGTACACTACATGTTCTCGGTGAGTTAGGGTAAACTGTGTGTACACAGAAGGCTCACTATTGTATGTTCTCGTATGTTAATCATCCCGTTCCCCTTTAATACCAAAGCACTAAATATCTCAGATGATTCCATACACTTGTGTTGTAAACAAAGTCCAAAGTTATCAAAGAAAGGTAGTTAAAGCCTAAGGTAAATACCAACTTGTAAGATTGGTACTTGTTATTTACGATATTTATTTGAAGTAAGCGGAACACTACATTATCCTCTTCAATTCCAGGTTGTAGCATAAGATTCTTTTGCTGGGAATGTAGCAAATGTCAACTTCAGTATAAGCTTTTCAATACAGTTCGTGTGAGGCACGGTAAGAGTGAAACGTGATGTACTTATTCCGTAACTTACCTTCACCACAAACTCTTGACGAACTTGATTTGATTACAGGTCCGTGCATATAACAAATACAATGGAACCGTTTCTGAAAAGAATTATACCACGCTTACTGGAGGTATGTTTAACTGTTCCATGGATATGTCATATTTAATATTTGATTACACTGTGCTCGTAATAGTTTTGAAGTGAATGATCAACTTATGGTTAGGTTTGTTCAGTTATCGCATTGAGTGAGTGAGATCGGCTGAACACCGATTTGTCAACATGTCAGAGTAATTTATGAGGGAAGCCCAAAATAACATGCTGACATTCCAACAAAGAGTTGTCTACACGGCATGCTTAACTTCTGTGTGTTCAATTATAACAGACCTCCAAAAGTCTCCGAACAAATTAAATACAAACGTACCATGGTATACGTATGCAGTTCAAATGTCTTCACATCACCATACGACTCCAGTATCTAATATATATGTATCTCATGTTCATGTACGTCCTGCTTTCAAATCCCCTTTCATCATCATATTGTCAAGAGCCGTGACCGACAGGAACCACCTATTCGTTTAACTATTTTAACAGCCTCAGGTAAAGATTGGCCATCTCACAATGCGCATGAAATATTACCAGATTGAATCTGCACTGTTTACGCACCTGTTGTAGTAGAGAACGTGGATGTGCGAAAGGACTGGGGGTATATGCCGGATATCTATTTGCGTCATATGTATTTGCATAACATGAATGTAGACCGGTCTGAACTACTATGTTCGTTTTCCTAGCGTCCGGCCCTGTGGCTAGTTTGGATGTACTGAGTACAACGGCAGATTCCATCAGTATACAGTGGACCAGGCCATCACTTCCAAATGGCAACATCCTTGGGTATCTGATAAACGTTACATCGGACGGCAAACATGAAAGAGTTATAAATGTGACCTGTGACCATCCTGAGGGCGGCGTGAGTACAACCACCAGTTACTCTTTTTCATTTTCTGACCGTTACATTATGATAAAGATACATTCATCATGGAAATACATGATTGTCTTTTGGTTATTGAAGCACATTTGTCTTCCACAAAAAGATATGGTCTGCAGAAGTGAACGAAAACGAAATATCTTAACACTAACAGGACAATTACAATCATGGATATATATTTCATGTTACAGGGCAAACCGAACTGTAGGGAAACGGACACTTCAAACACGGAGAGTGCTCCTGTTGTCAACCAAGACAGAAATGAGCTGTGTGACTACAACATTACAGGCTTAGAATCCTACACTAACTACACAATAGTAATATCCTGTGTCAACATAAACGGAACAGGGGTGGAGAGGAACATCACATTTCAAACCAACATGACCGGTACGTGTGATGGAGTTAATGTTCATTCTACAATGACACTGCTTAAGTTTGATTGATCAAAATGTGATTAACATTAAGTATTTAATACAAATCAGATGCATCACAATTTACAAGCCTTTTCACATTCAAAGCATTTGTGAGAAAACGTCGGCCTGACGATGGCAAGCCTACATAGTGATGCATATATCAATGACTGCCAATAACCCATAAGAACTCTACACGTTCGACATAGAAACAACAACGTATCAAACATTACAAAATCTTTTTCAGAACACGCATGTGACGTTTTTCACCATATGTGACGCCTCCCCCTTTTGTAATGTTCTAAGATAGCTGAACTATTTGACATATTTGCCAAAGTTCAACTACGCATTCCAAAAGAGTATTCTAAAGCATTTGGTATTGCATATATATTACAAATACAGTATCCCAACAATGTGGTATTATTATAACCCAGCATACTTGGGGAATCCTTTGATTAATATTCTGTGAAAACATATTATAGTTTTAGAAAAAGGTATCAGAGTATCTCTTCTTTTGTGACGGGTGACACCGGTGGCGCAGGATACCCTCACCTTTTCGCGAACACCTTGTATCATCACTATGTGATTCATAAACACATGCTCATGATATAATCGGAATTCTAACAATAGACTCTGCTCTTAGTAGAGATTTCGCTGGATTATGGAAAGGGCTTTGTCGCTTTTATTTAAATCTGTTGTATCGTAAAGGCTCACGATTGTGTGTATATATTTAATAATTTATTCATAAATGTAAATGTATTATTCCTTTTTTAATAATTCACTTGTTTATGAAAATACTAGCACCATGCATTTGTCCCGAGATATATCAGATATATTGCAAATCTGCGGCTGTAAATTCTGGCGGAAAAAAAAGAAATTTATTAATTCTTTCATTATACTGGTATTTTAGCGCGTACCCGGGAATGAAGTGGATAGCATTATCATGATGAAGTGGTTCTGCAATATGCGAGACTGGCACATATATGATGTTGAAGATCAGTGCGTGATATGATCCTGTTATAGTGGGTCCTTATCAGAGATTCATCTTCATATTGATCATATTCAAGGCAAATTTACGAATGTTGAAATCGTTTTCTCCTGTCCAAACTAAACATATTTCATAATAAAATCCATTGTCAATGCAGTATGTATACTACTCAAAACAAGTTAAAGAACACCCACAATCTAAAGGGTGTGTGTTGCAATACCCACCAGCCAAGACAGATTTACTGTAGTCTTAAGGAAAATGTGGGTGTTCTTTAACTTCTTTTGAGTAGTATATGTGAAGGGCCTTCTTAATGTTTAGTCGTGTCTTTCATCCGTAATGGGTTGAAACAGTCATGGTAGGTTTAAAACTCCATTGTTATATAGATATCACGTGTATTCCGCAGTGACGTTACAATGACAAGTCCCAGTTTTAACAAAGGTTTAACTCTGCCTCTGGAGGAGAGACGTTGTCATATCTGTTTAGCAATCTAATGGCCGAAGCAAGAGCGTGATATAGGCAATTATAAAATATACTGTGTCAAAATATGATTGTTGTATCACCATAACCTTTGTTCTTCAGTTCAAGCTGCCGATGTTAAATGTTCGGGGTAGAATGAACTTCCCTTATCTTTATGTACTATAGGATGTCATATATCCTTTTGTTATTGATCAATTCTCTCTAATACGTTTTTCACTACCTGTCTGTGACTCCTTTTCGGAATGTTCTAAGAGAGCTTATACCTATTTGACCCATATTCCCATGTTTAATATATGCGTTCCAAAATAGTATGCCAAAGAAGTCGGTACTGTATTTGTAACATAATTTCATTACGTTTTCAGACAACGATAGTTTAAGGACAATCAAGACACAATTCACAATTATCGACAGTATTCTTATATGCGCCCTTAAATCTTGACAAGGAAATGTTTCATTCATAGTTCCTGGAAAGGTAGAAAATCTTCACATCGAACACATACAAGACAATTTTACGAGTGTGGAAGTCTTCTTCTCCTGTCCAAACGAAACAGAAAGACACGGCGACATAAAATACTACATACTGTCGTATGAAGCTCAGGTATGTCTTATTAAAGATAAAAATGTGATCATTATACTTGAACAGAGTTGTATTACTTTAATTACAAAAAGTGTACGAATAACCAATGACTACTTTAAGTTTACTCAAGCTCAAACCTGCCTAGATAACAGAAAATGCGTTGCCGTGCATCATGATCAGGTATAGATATACCACACATACATATACGCACGCACGCACGCACGCACGCACGCACGCACGCACGCACGCGCATACAAGCACACACAGAAACATGGTGGTGGTCTTCCACTTTAAGTTTACAGTGTTTCGGCGACTATTTTCAGACTAGTAACGATTTGATAACGTTTGTAATGTTTTGGTCAAATCTAATTTTTAAGTATATACTTTCGTTTGCCCGGCAGATTATATACACAGTTAGGAAGGAAGATTTAGGAAAAGGGGGGATATGTATGATGAGTACATATGCATTGAATACAATGTATATTGAGTATGATTATTCCGTTACATTTTGACAGCGAGAACATAACCACAACGTGACAGAAAATCCCCAAGGATTAAACATTTCAGCTGAACCTGAGTCGAACTGTAACTACTCACGGGTTGTACCCATCACAGCACAAGTACACTACATGTTCTCGGTGAGTTAGGGTAAACTGTGTGTACAAAGAAGGCTCACTATTGTATGTTCTCGTATGTAAATCATCCCGTTCCCCTTTAATACCAAAGCACTAAATATCTCAGATGATTCCATACACTTGTGTTGTAAACAAAGTCTAAATTTATCAAAGAAAGGTAGTTAAATATTAAGGTAAATACCAACTTGTAGGATGGGTACTTGTTATTTACGACAATCATTTGAAGTAAGCGGAACACTACATTATCCTCTTCAATTTCAGGTTGTAGCATAAGATTCTTTTGCTGGGAATGTAGCAAATGTCAACTTCAGTATAAGCTTTTCAATACAGTTCGTGTGAGGCACGGTAAGAGTGAAACGTGATGTACTTATTCCGTAACTTACCTTCACCACAAACTCTTGACGAACTTGATTTGATTACAGGTCCGTGCATATAACAAATACAATGGAACCGTTTCTGAAAAGAATTATACCACGCTTACTGGAGGTATGTTTAACTGTTCCATGGACGTGTCATATGTAAATATTTGATTACACTGTGCTCGTAATAGTTTTGAAGTGAATGGTCAACTTATGGTTAGGTTTGTTCAATTATCGCATTGAGTGAGTGAGATCGGCTGAACACCGATTTGTCAACATGTCAGAGTAATTTATGAGGGAAGCCCAAAATAACATGCTGACATTCCAACAAAGAGTTGTCTACACGGCATGCTTAACTTCTGTGTGTTCAATTATAACAGACCTCCAAAAGTCTCCGAACAAATTAAATACAAACGTACCATGGTATACGTATGCAGTTCAAATGTCTTCATATCACCATACGACTCCAGTATCTAATATATATGTATCTCATGTTCATGTACGTCCTGCTTTCAAATCCCCTTTCATCATCATATTGTCAAGAGCCGTGACCGACAGGAACCACCTATTCGTTTAACTATTTTAACAGCCTCGGGTAAAGATTGGCCATCTCACAATGCGCATGAAATATTACCAGATTGAATCTGCACTGTTTACGCACCTGTTGTAGTAGAGAACGAGGATGTGCGAAAGGACTGGGGGTATATGCCGGATATCTATTTGCGTCATATGTATTTGCATAACATGAATTCTGAAAAGAATTATACCACGCTTACTGGAGGTATGTTTAACTGTTCCATGGATGTGTCATATGTAAATATTTGATTACACTGTGCTCGTAATAGTTTTGAAGTGACTTATGTTTAGGTTTTTCAATTATCGCATTGAGTGAGTGAGATCGGCTGAACACCGCTTTTGTCAACATGTCAGAGTAATTTATGAGGGAAGCCCAAAATAACATTTTGACATTCCAACAAAGGGGTGTCTACACAACATGCTTAACTTCTGTGTGTTTAATTATAACAGACCTCCAAAAATCTCCGAACAAATTAAATACAAACATACCACGGTATGCAGTTCAAATGTCTTCATATCACAATACGACTCCAGTATCTAATATATATGTATCTCATGTTCATGTACGTCCTGCTTTCTAACCCTCTTTCATCATCATATTGTCAAGAGCCGTGACCGACAGGAACCACCTATTCGTTTAACTACTTTAACAGCTTCAGGTAAAGATAAGCCCTCTCCCAATGCGCATGAAATATTACCAGATTGAATCTGCACTGTTTACGCACCTGTTGTAGTCAATGCAGTATGTATACTACTCAAAACAAGTTAAAGAACACCCACAATCTAAAGGATGTGTGTTGCAATACCCACCAGCCAAGACAGATTTACTGTAGTCTTAAGGAAAATGTGGGTGTTCTTTAACTTCTTTTGAGTAGTATATGTGAAGGGCCTTCTTAATGTTTAGTCGTGTCTTTCATCCGTAATGGGTTGAAACAGTCATGGTAGGTTTAAAACTCCATTGTTATATAGATATCACGTGTATTCCGCAGTGACGTTACAATGACAAGTCCCAGTTTTAACAAAGGTTTAACTCTGCCTCTGGAGGAGAGACGTTGTCATATCTGTTTAGCAATCTAATGGCCGAAGCAAGAGCGTGATATAGGCAATTATAAAATATACTGTGTCAAAATATGATTGTTGTATCACCATAACCTTTGTTCTTCAGTTCAAGCTGCCGATGTTAAATGTTCGGGGTAGAATGAACTTCCCTTATCTTTATGTACTATAGGATGTCATATATCCTTTTGTTATTGATCAATTCTCTCTAATACGTTTTTCACTACCTGTCTGTGACTCCTTTTCGGAATGTTCTAAGAGAGCTTATACCTATTTGACCCATATTCCCATGTTTAATATATGCGTTCCAAAATAGTATGCCAAAGAAGTCGGTACTGTATTTGTAACATAATTTCATTACGTTTTCAGACAACGATAGTTTAAGGACAATCAAGACACAATTCACAATTATCGACAGTATTCTTATATGCGCCCTTAAATCTTGACAAAGAAATGTTTCATTCATAGTTCCTGGAAAGGTAGAAAATCTTCACATCGAACACATACAAGACAATTTTACGAGTGTGGAAGTCTTCTTCTCCTGTCCAAACGAAACAGAAAGACACGGCGACATAAAATACTACATACTGTCGTATGAAGCTCAGGTATGTCTCATTAAAGATAAAAATGTGATCATTATACTTGAACAGAGTTGTATTACTTTAATTACAAAAAGTGTACGAATAACCAATGACTACTTTAAGTTTACTCAAGCTCAAACCTGCCTAGATAACAGAAAATGCGTTGCCGTGCATCATGATCAGGTATAGATATACCACACATACATATACGCACGCACAAACGCACGCACGCACGCACGCACGCACGCACGCACGCGCATACAAGCACACACAGAAACATGGTGGTGGTCTTCCACTTTAAGTTTACAGTGTTTCGGCGACTATTTTCAGACTAGTAACGATTTGATAACGTTTGTAATGTTTTGGTCAAATCTAATTTTTAAGTATATACTTTCGTTTGCCCGGCAGATTATATACACAGTTAGGAAGGAAGATTTAGGAATAGGGTGGATATGTATGATGAGTACATATGCATTGAATACAATGTATATTGAGTATGATTATTCCGTTACATTTTGACAGCGAGAACATAACCACAACGTGACAGAAAATCCCCAAGGATTAAACATTTCAGCTGAACCTGAGTCGAACTGTAACTACTCACGGGTTGTACCCATCACAGCACAAGTACACTACATGTTCTCGGTGAGTTAGGGTAAACTGTGTGTACAAAGAAGGCTCACTATTGTATGTTCTCGTATGCAAATCATCCCGTTCCCCTTTAATACCAAAGCACTAAATATCTCAGATGATTCCATACACTTGTGTTGTAATCAAAGTCTAAATTTATCAAAGAAAGGTAGTTAAATATTAAGGTAAATACCAACTTGTAGGATGGGTACTTGTTATTTACGACAATCATTTGAAGTAAGCGGAACACTACATTATCCTCTTCAATTTCAGGTTGTAGCATAAGATTCTTTTGCTGGGAATGTAGCAAATGTCAACTTCAGTATAAGCTTTTCAATACAGTTCGTGTGAGGCACGGTAAGAGTGAAACGTGATGTACTTATTCCGTAACTTACCTTCACCACAAACTCTTGACGAACTTGATTTGATTACAGGTCCGTGCATATAACAAATACAATGGAACCGTTTCTGAAAAGAATTATACCACGCTTACTGGAGGTATGTTTAACTGTTCCATGGACGTGTCATATGTAAATATTTGATTACACTGTGCTCGTAATAGTTTTGAAGTGAATGGTCAACTTATGGTTAGGTTTGTTCAATTATCGCATTGAGTGAGTGAGATCGGCTGAACACCGATTTGTCAACATGTCAGAGTAATTTATGAGGGAAGCCCAAAATAACATGCTGACATTCCAACAAAGAGTTGTCTACACGGCATGCTTAACTTCTGTGTGTTCAATTATAACAGACCTCCAAAAGTCTCCGAACAAATTAAATACAAACGTACCATGGTATACGTATGCAGTTCAAATGTCTTCATATCACCATACGACTCCAGTATCTAATATATATGTATCTCATGTTCATGTACGTCCTGCTTTCAAATCCCCTTTCATCATCATATTGTCAAGAGCCGTGACCGACAGGAACCACCTATTCGTTTAACTATTTTAACAGCCTCAGGTAAAGATTGGCCATCTCACAATGCGCATGAAATATTACCAGATTGAATCTGCACTGTTTACGCACCTGTTGTAGTAGAGAACGAGGATGTGCGAAAGGACTGGGGGTATATGCCGGATATCTATTTGCGTCATATGTATTTGCATAACATGAATTCTGAAAAGAATTATACCACGCTTACTGGAGGTATGTTTAACTGTTCCATGGATGTGTCATATGTAAATATTTGATTACACTGTGCTCGTAATAGTTTTGAAGTGACTTATGTTTAGGTTTTTCAATTATCGCATTGAGTGAGTGAGATCGGCTGAACACCGCTTTTGTCAACATGTCAGAGTAATTTATGAGGGAAGCCCAAAATAACATTTTGACATTCCAACAAAGGGGTGTCTACACAACATGCTTAACTTCTGTGTGTTTAATTATAACAGACCTCCAAAAATCTCCGAACAAATTAAATACAAACATACCACGGTATGCAGTTCAAATGTCTTCATATCACAATACGACTCCAGTATCTAATATATATGTATCTCATGTTCATGTACGTCCTGCTTTCTAATCCTCTTTCATCATCATATTGTCAAGAGCCGTGACCGACAGGAACCACCTATTCGTTTAACTACTTTAACAGCTTCAGGTAAAGATTAGCCCTCTCCCAATGCGCATGAAATATTACCAGATTGAATCTGCACTGTTTACGCACCTGTTGTAGTAGAGAACGTGGATGTGCGAAAGGACTGGGGGTATATGCCGGATATCTATTTGCGTCATATGTATTTGCATAACATGAATGTAGACCTGTCTGAACTACTATGTTCGTTTTCCTAGCGTCCGGCCCTGTGGCTAGTTTGGATGTACTGAGTACAACGGCAGATTCCATCAGTATACAGTGGACCAGGCCATCACTTCCAAATGGCAACATCCTTGGGTATCTGATAAACGTTACATCGGACGGCAAACATGAAAGAGTTATAAATGTGACCTGTGACCATCCTGAGGGCGGCGTGAGTACAACCACCAGTTACTCTTTTTCATTTTCTGACCGTTACATTATGATAAAGATACATTCATCATGGAAATACATGATTGTCTTTTGGTTATTGAAGCACATTTGTCTTCCACAAAAAGATATGGTCTGCAGAAGTGAACGAAAACGAAATATCTTAACACTAACAGGACAATTACAATCATGGATATATATTTCATGTTACAGGGCAAACCGAACTGTAGGGAAACGGACACTTCAAACACGGAGAGTGCTCCTGTTGTCAACCAAGACAGAAATGAGCTGTGTGACTACAACATTACAGGCTTAGAATCCTACACTAACTACACAATAGTAATATCCTGTGTCAACATAAACGGAACAGGGGTGGAGAGGAACATCACATTTCAAACCAACATGACCGGTACGTGTGATGGAGTTAATGTTCATTCTACAATGACACTGCTTAAGTTTGATTGATCAAAATGTGATTAACATTAAGTATTTAATACAAATCAGATGAATCACAATTTACAAGCCTTTTCACATTCAAAGCATTTGTGAGAAAACGTCGGCCTGACGATGGCAAGCCTACATAGTGATGCATATATCAATGACTGCCAATAACCCATAAGAACTCTACACGTTCGACATAGAAAGAACAACGTATCAAACATTACAAAATCTTTTTCAGAACACGCATGTGACGTTTTTCACCATATGTGACGCCTCCCCCTTTTGTAATGTTCTAAGATAGCTGAACTATTTGACATATTTGCCAAAGTTCAACTACGCATTCCAAAAGAGTATTCTAAAGCATTTGGTATTGCATATATATTACAAATACAGTATCCCAACAATGTGGTATTATTATAACCCAGCATACTTGGGGAATCCTTTGATTAATATTCTGTGAAAACATATTATAGTTTTAGAAAAAGGTATCAGAGTATCTCTTCTTTTGTGACGGGTGACACCGGTGGCGCAGGATACCCTCACCTTTTCGCGAACACCTTGTATCATCACTATGTGATTCATAAACACATGCTCATGATATAATCGGAATTCTAACAATAGACTCTGCTCTTAGCAGAGATTTCGCTGGATTATGGAAAGGGCTTTGTCGCTTTTATTTAAATCTGTTGTATCGTAAAGGCTCACGATTGTGTGTATATATTTAATAATTTATTCATAAATGTAAATGTATTATTCCTTTTTTAATAATTCACTTGTTTATGAAAATACTAGCACCATGCATTTGTCCCGAGATATATCAGATATATTGCAAATCTGCGGCTGTAAATTCTGGCGGAAAAAAAGAAATTTATTAATTCTTTCATTATACTGGTATTTTAGCGCGTACCCGGGAATGAAGTGGATAGCATTATCATGATGAAGTGGTTCTGCAATATGCGAGACTGGCACATATATGATGTTGAAGATCAGTGCGTGATATGATCCTGTTATAGTGGGTCCTTATCAGAGATTCATCTTCATATTGATCATATTCAAGGCAAATTTACGAATGTTGAAATCGTTTTCTCCTGTCCAAACTAAACATATTTCATAATAAAATCCATTGTCAATGCAGTATGTATACTACTCAAAACAAGTTAAAGAACACCCACAATCTAAAGGATGTGTGTTGCAATACCCACCAGCCAAGACAGATTTACTGTAGTCTTAAGGAAAATGTGGGTGTTCTTTAACTTCTTTTGAGTAGTATATGTGAAGGGCCTTCTTAATGTTTAGTCGTGTCTTTCATCCGTAATGGGTTGAAACAGTCATGGTAGGTTTAAAACTCCATTGTTATATAGATATCACGTGTATTCCGCAGTGACGTTACAATGACAAGTCCCAGTTTTAACAAAGGTTTAACTCTGCCTCTGGAGGAGAGACGTTGTCATATCTGTTTAGCAATCTAATGGCCGAAGCAAGAGCGTGATATAGGCAATTATAAAATATACTGTGTCAAAATATGATTGTTGTATCACCATAACCTTTGTTGTTCAGTTCAAGCTGCCGATGTTAAATGTTCGGGGTAGAATGAACTTCCCTTATCTTTATGTACTATAGGATGTCATATATCCTTTTGTTATTGATCAATTCTCTCTAATACGTTTTTCACTACCTGTCTGTGACTCCTTTTCGGAATGTTCTAAGAGAGCTTATACCTATTTGACCCATATTCCCATGTTTAATATATGCGTTCCAAAATAGTATGCCAAAGAAGTCGGTACTGTATTTGTAACATAATTTCATTACGTTTTCAGACAACGATAGTTTAAGGACAATCAAGACTTAATTCACAATTATCGACAATATTCTTATATGCGCCCTTAAATCTTGACAAGGAAATGTTTCATTCATAGTTCCTGGAAAGGTAGAAAATCTTCACATCGAACACATACAAGACAATTTTACGAGTGTGGAAGTCTTCTTCTCCTGTCCAAACGAAACAGAAAGACACGGCGACATAAAATACTACATACTGTCGTATGGAGCTCAGGTATGTCTCATTAAAAATAAAAATGTGATCATTATACTTGAACAGAGTTGTATTACTTTAATTACAAAAAGTGTACGAATAACCAATGACTACTTTAAGTTTACTCAAGCTCAAACCTGCCTAGATAACAGAAAATGCGTTGCCGTGCATCATGATCAGGTATAGATATACCACACATACATATACGCACGCACAAACGCACGCACGCACGCACGCACGCACGCACGCGCATACAAGCACACACAGAAACATGGTGGTGGTCTTCCACTTTAAGTTTACAGTGTTTCGGCGACTATTTTCAGACTAGTAACGATTTGATAACGTTTGTAATGTTTTGGTCAAATCTAATTTTTAAGTATATACTTTCGTTTGCCCGGCAGATTATATACACAGTTAGGAAGGAAGATTTAGGAATAGGGTGGATATGTATGATGAGTACATATGCATTGAATACAATGTATATTGAGTATGATTATTCCGTTACATTTTGACAGCGAGAACATAACCACAACGTGACAGAAAATCCCCAAGGATTAAACATTTCAGCTGAACCTGAGTCGAACTGTAACTACTCACGGGTTGTACCCATCACAGCACAAGTACACTACATGTTCTCGGTGAGTTAGGGTAAACTGTGTGTACAAAGAAGGCTCACTATTGTATGTTCTCGTATGTTAATCATCCCGTTCCCCTTTAATACCAAAGCACTAAATATCTCAGATGATTCCATACACTTGTGTTGTAAACAAAGTCTAAATTTATCAAAGAAAGGTAGTTAAATATTAAGGTAAATACCAACTTGTAGGATGGGTACTTGTTATTTACGACAATCATTTGAAGTAAGCGGAACACTACATTATCCTCTTCAATTTCAGGTTGTAGCATAAGATTCTTTTGCTTGCAATGTAGCAAATGTCAACTTCAGTATAAGCTTTTCAATACAGTTCGTGTGAGGCACGGTAAGAGTGAAACGTGATGTACTTATTCCGTAACTTACCTTAACCACAAACTCTTGACGAACTTGATTTGATTACAGGTCCGTGCATATAACAAATACAATGGAACCGTTTCTGAAAAGAATTATACCACGCTTACTGGAGGTATGTTTAACTGTTCCATGGATGTGTCATATGTAAATATTTGATTACACTGTGCTCGTAATAGTTTTGAAGTGAATGGTCAACTTATGGTTAGGTTTGTTCAATTATCGCATTGAGTGAGTGAGATCGGCTGAACACCGATTTGTCAACATGTCAGAGTAATTTATGAGGGAAGCCCAAAATAACATGCTGACATTCCAACAAAGAGTTGTCTACACGGCATGCTTAACTTCTGTGTGTTCAATTATAACAGACCTCCAAAAGTCTCCGAACAAATTAAATACAAACGTACCATGGTATACGTATGCAGTTCAAATGTCTTCACATCACCATACGACTCCAGTATCTAATATATATGTATCTCATGTTCATGTACGTCCTGCTTTCAAATCCCCTTTCATCATCATATTGTCAAGAGCCGTGACCGACAGGAACCACCTATTCGTTTAACTATTTTAACAGCCTCAGGTAAAGATTGGCCCTCTCACAATGCGCATGAAATATTACCAGATTGAATCTGCACTGTTTACGCACCTGTTGTAGTAGAGAACGAGGATGTGCGAAAGAACTGGGGGTATATGCCGGATATCTATTTGCGTCATATGAATTTGCATAACATGAATTCTGAAAAGAATTATACCACGCTTACTGGAGGTATGTTTAACTGTTCCATGGATGTGTCATATGTAAATATTTGATTACACTGTGCTCGTAATAGTTTTGAAGTGACTTATGGTTAGGTTTTTCAATTATCGCATTGAGTGAGTGAGATCGGCTGAACACCGCTTTTGTCAACATGTCAGAGTAATTTATGAGGGAAGCCCAAAATAACATTTTGACATTCCAACAAAGGGGTGTCTACACAACATGCTTAACTTCTGTGTGTTTAATTATAACAGACCTCCAAAAATCTCCGAACAAATTAAATACAAACATACCACGGTATGCAGTTCAAATGTCTTCATATCACAATACGACTCCAGTATCTAATATATATGTATCTCATGTTCATGTACGTCCTGCTTTCTAATCCTCTTTCATCATCATATTGTCAAGAGCCGTGACCGACAGGAACCACCTATTCGTTTAACTACTTTAACAGCTTCAGGTAAAGATTAGCCCTCTCCCAATGCGCATGAAATATTACCAGATTGAATCTGCACTGTTTACGCACCTGTTGTAGTAGAGAACGTGGATGTGCGAAAGGACTGGGGGTATATGCCGGATATCTATTTGCATAACATGAATGTAGACTGGTCTGAACTACTATGTTCGTTTTCCTAGCGTCCGGCCCTGTGGCTAGTTTGGATGTACTGAGTACAACGGCAGATTCCATCAGTATACAGTGGACCAGGCCATCACTTCCAAATGGCAACATCCTTGGGTATCTGATAAACGTTACATCGGACGGCAAACATGAAAGAGTTATAAATGTGACCTGTGACCATCCTGAGGGCGGCGTGAGTACAACCACCAGTTACTCTTTTTCATTTTCTGACCGTTACATTATGATAAAGATACATTCATCATGGAAATACATGATTGTCTTTTGGTTATTGAAGCACATTTGTCTTCCACAAAAAGATATGGTCTGCAGAAGTGAACGAAAATGAAACATCTACACACTAACAGGACAATTACAATCATGGATATATATTACATGTTACAGGACAAACCGAACTGTAGGGCAACGGACACTTCACACACGAAGAGCGGTCCTGTTGTCAACCAAGACAGAAATGAGCTCTACGACTACAAAGTTGAAACCTTACAATCCTACACTAACTACACAATAGCAATATATTGTGTCAACATAAACGGAACAGGGGAGAGGAGGAAAACCACAGTTCAAACCAACATGACCGGTACGTGTGATGGAGTTAATGTTCATTCTACAATGACACTGCTTAAGTTTGATTGATTAAAATGTGATTAACATTAAGTATCTAATACAAATCAGATGCATCACAATTAACAAGCCTTTTCACATTCAAAGCATTTGTGAGAAAACGTCGGCCTGACGATAGCAAGCCTACATAGTGATGCATATATCAATGACTGCCAATAACCCATAAGAACTCTACACGTTCGACATAGAGACAACAACGTATCAAACATTACAAAATCTTTTTCAGAACACGCATGTGACGTTTTTCACCATATGTGACGCCTCCCCCTTTTGTAATGTTCTAAGATAGCTGAACTATTTGACATATTTGCCAAAGTTCAACTACGCATTCCAAAAGAGTATTCTAAAGCATTTGGTATTGCATATATGTTACAAATACAGTATCCCAACAATGTGGTATTATTATAACCCAGCATACTTGGGAAATCCTTTGATTAATATTCTGTGAAAACATATTATAGTTTTAGAAAAAAGGTATCAGAGTATCTCTTCTTTTGTGACGGGTGACACCGGTGGCGCAGGATACCCTCACCTTTTCGCGAACACCTGGTATCATCACTATGTGATTCATAAACACATGCTCATGATATAATCGGAATTCTAACAATGGACTCTGCTCTTAGCAGAGATTTCGCTGGATTATGGAAAGGGTTTTGTCGCTTTTATTTAAATCTGTTGTATCGTAAAGGCTCACGATTGTGTGTATATATTTAATAATTTATTCATAAATGTAAATGTATTATTCCTTTTTTAATAATTCACTTGTTTATGAAAATACTAGCACCATGCATTTGCCCCGAGATATATCAGATATATTGCAAATCTGCGGCTGTAAATTCTGGCGGAAAAAAAGAAGTTTATTAATTCTTTCATTATACTGGTATTTTAGCGCGTACCCGGGAATGAAGTGGATAACATTACCATGATGAAGTGGTTCTGCAATATGCGAGACTGGCACATATATGATGTTGAAGATCAGTGCGTGATATGATCCTGTTATAGTGGGTCCTTATCAGAGATTCATCTTCATATTGATCATATTCAAGGCAAATTTACGAATGTTGAAATCGTTTTCTCCTGTCCAAATTAAACATATTTCATAATAAAATCCATTGTCAATGCAGTATGTATACTACTCAAAACAAGTTAAAGAACACCCACAATCTAAAGGATGTGTGTTGCAATACCCACCAGCCAAGACAGATTTACTGTAGTCTTAAGGAAAATGTGGGTGTTCTTTAACTTCTTTTGAGTAGTATATGTGAAGGGCCTATTTAATGTTTAGTCGTGTCTTTCATCCGTAATGGGTTGAAACAGTCATGGTAGGTTTAAAACTCCATTGTTATATAGATATCACGTGTATTCCGCAGTGACGTTACAATGACAAGTCCCAGTTTTAACAAAGGTTTAACTCTGCCTCTGGAGGAGAGACGTTGTCATATCTGTTTAGCAATCTAATGGCCGAAGCAAGAGCGTGATATAGGCAATTATAAAATATACTGTGTCAAAATATGATTGTTGTATCACCATAACCTTTGTTCTTCAGTTCAAGCTGCCGATGTTAAATGTTCGGGGTAGAATGAACTTCCCTTATCTTTATGTACTATAGGATGTCATATATCCTTTTGTTATTGATCAATTCTCTCTAATACGTTTTTCACTACCTGTCTGTGACTCCTTTTCGGAATGTTCTAAGAGAGCTTATACCTATTTGACCCATATTCCCATGTTTAATATATGCGTTCCAAAATAGTATGCCAAAGAAGTCGGTACTGTATTTGTAACATAATTTCATTACGTTTTCAGACAACGATAGTTTAAGGACAATCAAGACACAAAACACAATCATCGACAGTATTCTTATATGCGCCCTTAAATCTTGACAAGGAAATGTTTCATTCATAGTTCCTGGAAAGGTAGAAAATCTTCACATCGATCACATACAAGACAATTTTACGAGTGTGGAAGTCTTCTTCTCCTGTCCAAACGAAACAGAAAGACACGGCGACATAAAATACTACATACTGTCGTATGGAGCTCAGGTATGTCTCATTAAAGATAAAAATGTGATCATTATACTTGAACAGAGTTGTATTACTTTAATTACAAAAAAGTGTACGAATAACCAATGACTACTTTAAGTTTACTCAAACTCAAACCTGCCTAGATAACAGAAAATGCGTTGCGGTGCATCATGATCAGGTATAGATATACCACACATACATATACGCACGCACAAACGCACGCACGCGCATACAAGCACACACAGAAACATGGTGGTGGTCTTCCACTTTAAGTTTACAGTGTTTCGGCGACTATTTTCAGACTAGTAACGATTTGATAACGTTTGTAATGTTTTGGTCAAATCTAATTTTTAAGTATATACTTTCGTTTGCCCGGCAGTTTATATACACAGTTAGGAAGGAAGATTTAGGAATAGGGTGGATATGTATGATGAGTACATATGCATTGAATACAATGTATATCGAGTATGATTATTCCGTTACATTTTGACAGCGAGAACATAACCACAACGTGACAGAAAATCCCCAAGGATTAAACATTTCAGCTGAACCTGAGTCGAACTGTAACTACTCACGGGTTGTACCCATCACAGCACAAGTAGACTACATGTTCTCGGTGAGTTAGGGTAAACTGTGTGTACAAAGAAGGCTCACTATTGTATGTTCTCGTATGCAAATCATCCCGTTCCCCTTTAATACTTTTATAACCCCAATGAACTTAGCACTAAATATCTCAGATGATTCAATACACTTCTCTTGTAAACAAAGCAAAACTACTTTCCGTTGACACTGGATACTTGATAATTGTAGCACTTGTTTAGATGTACATATGTGAAGGGTGGCATCAAAATGAAGCTCAGAAACCAATCTATCAGAAAAAGATAGTTAAATCCTAAGCTATATACCCGCTTGGAGGATGGGTACTGGTTGTTTATGATATGTATTTCAAGTTAAGTGAACACTACATCATCCTCTTCAATTTAAGGTTGTAGCATATGATTCCTTTGCTGGGGATGTAGCAAATGTCAGCTTCAGTATCAGCTTTTCTATACAATTCAGAGTAAAACGCGTTGTACGTATTCCTTAACTTACCTCCACTACAAACTAAGTGACAAACTTGATTTGATTACAGGTCCACGCATTCAACAAATACAATGGAACCGTTTCCGAAAAGAATTATACCACGCTTACTGGAGGTAAGTTAAACTGTTCTAAAAATGTGTCATTTGTAAATATTACACCATGTTCATACTTGTTATTAAAGTGAAAGGTCAACTTATGTTTACATTTGTTCAATTAGTGCACTGAGTGAGTGAGTTTGTCTTAACTCTGCTTTGAGTACATACCGGATATCCAATTGTAGTCATTGCATTATAAAACAATATGAAACGAATTAGACATTTTGTTCATAGGTCCATGTCTTATATGTGCATAACACAAATACTTACGTTTCCCTAGAGTCTGGTCCCGTGGCTAGCTTGGTTGTATTGAATACAACGGCATATTCCATCACTATACAGTGGACGAAGCCATCACTTCCAAATGGCAACATCCTTGGGTATCTGATAAACGTTACATCCGGCGACAAACCTGACAGAGTTATAAATGTAACCTGTGACCAGTCTACGGAAGACGTGAGCATAACCACTGGTTACTCTTCCTCGTTTTCTGATCACAAGCCGATGTGAAAGCTCCATTCATTCTGCCTTAATTGAAATACATGTATATCAGTTTTTTTATGGTTATGATTTCACGTTTGTCATCGACAATAAAATGCATAGTATATAGAAGAGAATGAAAGCGTACAATTCTCCACAGTAACAGTAAAATTGCTATGATTCCGTCTGTGGATATTTTTATATGTGTAATTTTATGTTACAGAGAAAGCACGAATGTAAAGCAGTTGACACTACAAATACGAGTAGTGCCGCTGTTTTCAACCAAGACGGAAATAAGCAATATGACTACAATATTACAGCCTTAGAGTCTTATACTAACTACACAATAGTAATATCCTGTGTTAACATAAACGGAACAGGGGAGGAGAGGAACACCTATGTTCAAACAAACATGACTGGTAAGTGTGATGAAGTTAATGTTATTTCTACCATGACACTGACGATACCTTGATTCTGATTGGTAAATCTATGATAAAATCAGGTATCTACTTCCAGAGAACTCGAAGAAGTGCATGTGTGGCTTTGGCATTAAGATACTGTCAGATTTTATCGATAGCACGGAGATGGAAGAGGCAGATTTCCTCGAGTCTCCATGGATAAGCTGGTATCAGTTTATAATTCAAGATCTTTGACAGAGTTAAATAATTTGATACTGGCATCTGCGACGTCACTGCTATCTCTGTTGTGACCTTCCAACCTGATGTGAAGTTCAAACCAAGATTGCCCCCGCTTTACTGTTATTGAGTTTCAGCAAGATGGATGACATCTGTGACTTTGCCTTTCACGCCCAATGGAATCTGTTTCGTCGGGTAATCGAGACTGGTTGTTCTCTGGCGTTGTCGTTTTATATATATTTGGAAAGATGGTCCTTGGTGCTGAAGCTCACAGCATTTTCAATTACTTTAGATGAAAATGAATCTTTTGAGAAGTGCTGGAACATTTGTGGGAACTGGCCACTCATCAAGCTTTTGTTAAAAATACTTGTTATTGTCTGGAACAAAACGTCAAGATACATGTTATTATCATTAACGTATTATACTTTTCTTTGGGCCAATGGATCTCCTTCAGGAAAGTAAAACGGCACTTGGTAGATTATCCACTAAATATAGAAAATAGTGGCATATCACCTCATCTCCTGTGGGCTGGATTAAGTCTCCATGAACCAATGCAGGTTAAAGGGGCGACCATGCATTGCTGAGGGCACACACACACATACACACACACACGCGCGCACGCAGGCACGCATGTAGGCACACACACACACACGCACGCACACATACATACACACAACAAACAGAGACACACATACACACAGACATATAGATAGATAGATAGATAGATCTTTTACAAGGAGTGACGTTTATAGCGAGAGCCTAGTGTGTATAAGCTATAACCTTCAATATACCCAACCTGTCAATATTTTGTTTTTGTAGTTCCATCACCGCCAAAGGAGTTGCAGGCCTTTGTGAACAGATCGTCAAGTGTGACCCTGTTCTGGACCCCCGCCGATCACCAGGACGGACCCACTACCTACTACATTACAGTAGGGGAAGAGAACAGCCTAAACTCACTCACTTTCCAAGAGATAGAGTGTGTCACTGTCACTGGTATGTTTTTTAAATTACGATTGTAGTTTGTTCTTATCATGAAATGACAAGACATATCAGTGTGTAAATAATGTATACAATTTCTTCAAGTAACATTACCACATACTTGCAGCTTATAGGGTTGTTTTTCTAAAGTTTCTAAAAAATGACTGAACATTTATCGTTGATACCAAGATTAGTGAGTGAGTTAATGCTTAACGTCACATCGACAATATTTCAGCCATATCGTGACGAATGATACCAAGATTAAATGAGTCACTTTCCCAGTTACTCTAAATCTCTATACCAGCATTTTATTTTTATTTTTCAATGATGTTGTGATAACCATAGGGACCCCGGTTATTGCCACATGTAATTTAATTATAAAGTTTTAAAGAAGAAATGTCTAGGTAGCGTACATGTACATGTAGTTGCGACTAATCTATTGCTTGATTACTTTTACCCCGAAGATTATAACTAGGTTCATGACGCAGGTATGTTGTATACAAACTATTATTGTATGTCTAAATGATATGAACACAACAATGAACTAGAATTATCAAGTGGCCAACAAATAGAAAGTTTGGTTTTGCACATTTGGTTTTATTTCAACATTACGTCCATGTACACTATATTGCATCGGAAGTTACAAGAAATCGTATGTATAATTTCCCTTCGGATTGAATCGACTCATCGACAGCATCTAAAGATTTAAGTGATAACACACTCCTGCTATACAACTTATAGCACAACCCTAGCACCGACATTTATGAGATTCTTAGTCCAGATTAGATGAGGGGTTGCTACCTCATGATCAGAATCGGGTACACATGCGAGCTTCCTGATACAATTGAAGAGGAAAAGCATTGTTAAGATCCCACACTGAGGGATGTGTAATTCAGTCGCCTAAAACATGCAAACATGTCATTTTGTTTGTCCACATACCTGTTTAGACATAGGTGAGGTGCCGACTTGGTATACAAAATGACGAGGGCGAAAGCTCAGACATATTTTAGTTCGATTCTATTATTGCCTATTTTGTCGTATCATATTTTGATAAGTACTTTGTTTCAGAAATTAATGTTAAAATGGAAATTAATGACCTAAAACTTGACATCGAGTTTTGAAGGATGGTTGCTCACTGACCACCAACAATATTGTGATGGAAGTGAAAGTTAATGTGACTTTTTGAAGTGGGCAGATCTAGAGCTCTTATGCAAATCGCCAGAAACATTGATTGGAATGCACTTGTAACAGGGAAGATTGAACCGCATCAGCAGATAGACGACTGGTGTTGATTAGAAAACCATGTAACTTGAGTTATGTGTAGGGGACTAGTCTGATAGAATGTTACTAAATTTGACACTAACCCTACATCGGACCCCGCTGCAGCAAGAACATTGTAATTTGTGTATCGTTGTGGCAACGCAGTGTGTTCATTGACTTTTTTGACTGTTTGTTTGTGGTTGTAAACAGTTTGACATCTTTCTTTACAGAATTTGTGAATTTAATGACTCGTGCCATTTAGATATATGTATGACAGCATTTCCCAAGCCATAAACAATTACAAAGTAGTTATTATGTCCATTTACATGTGACAAATATCGCGTTCGGTTTTAATGCTCGGGCCTGTCAATCATCGATAATTTCCTTCCTGTCACCTGATGTTTGGATTATCTTCATTCACTCCGCTAATCTACGAGTCGATACTGATACCTCTACCTATATTCTGTTTACTTTGTTCATGAAGTAGTTAGCAGCCATAACGTAAATGTAACGCAGCATGCATTAAAATGAATATTTTGTATTCGTTACACCCATTTGTCATCGTCGTATACAACACATCTGGTAATTGATAACTATGTGCGGGTAGGATTGATAAACATTTCTCTACATTATGTTCATACTTTATCACACTCCAGGTTTTCATAATACATCCGTCTTGATTGAGGGTCTCCGGAGTTACTGGATCTACAACTTCAGCATCACAGCAGCTACTCCAGTTGACAATTCAAGTGTCGTGTCTCTGAACAGAACTGTCAGGACAGACGAGTCAGGTTTGTTTTGTTTGTTTTAAACATATTTTATTGACATATATGGTCAACGGGATTGGGCAAAGGTAATCCAACTTAGGGGGCCCTTACCTTAATGCATATGTAAGGACATTGATAATACATATGTATACACATGTACACACACACACACACACACACACACACACACACACACACACACACACACACACACACACACACACACACACACACACACACACACACACACACACACACACACACACACACACACAGAGTTTATCACGCGAGTGTGTTTGGGGATGGTAAATATCCTGTATTTAGGAATAAACATTGTTCTTAGTATTTAGCGAGCCTTGGCTCGAACCCTAGTCTATGAGACGGCACGTCAGACGTTGTTGGCAGTCTGTCCTGTCATAACGTTACGAAGTGCAGTCAGATGTACACACAGCGACAAAACGAAAAAAGGAAACAACTCAACTCCAACTCTTTTAATTTTTGGAAAAGGTTCCAAGCCGCAGATGTCTACAAGCACAGATATATCTACTGATCCCGTTTGGCTAGGACTATTGCCCTCGCAAAATTGTTTCGCAATTTATATCTCCAAAGTTGCCCAAACTTGTAAAACGCCTCAGCTACGTAACAGTCAGACACTGCTTTTCAGTATATTAGACTGTTCTTTTGATAATGATATCAATTATCCATGTAGTTTCTCCAGATTCCCGATGTTTCATTCTGACTCGATCGCCGAATGACAGGGGCGACGCCATGTTTGTTTGTAAACCGTGAAAGTAGCCCCTACTTGACCTTTGATATTTGCTCTATCCACATATGACCCGAACGGATATCCTTTTTATCCGTTGGCTTTATCCTGCAGAGAAACCTACCCATTATATGATAACATAACACAGAGAAATATATTTACTTGTATATACACATTGATACAAAAATACATGAGCACAAATACACATGCAAGTTTACGCCACACATACATATTCTAGAATATATACATATGTTCACACTTACATATAACACGAACACATATTTACACACATACACTAATGTATACATACCCGTATACATTATGCTTACAGAGAGGGGCAGAGGCAGACAATGTATTCATATACATGCATGCATCATAATAACCACACATAATCCCTGTAATTAAAATCGCATCATTTACTAAGATGCGACAACCTCTCTGTGTGACGAACTGAGGACACCTCCAATGAAGTACTGTCCGGTGAAGTTTGCATTCAACCACTTAGCGTCGAGGGTCCTAAATTATCGGTACGAGTGAGCAAAACATTGCGACCTGCATTACCGACTTGTCTGTATCGAAATTAAATTGCCATCTTCCGAAAATAAATAAAAAAAGCCGCGCCTTTTTGTTGTGAATACACTTAGTTGTTTCTCAACGTCACGACATCTACTCCCATGATGGGGGTTCCATCGAAAGAATATTTGTGTTCTGTGTGGATTTTCTTTTGTTAAAAATTAAATCGAAATATCCGAATTGAAGTCAAATAATGATGCCGAGTCGCTTGAAAAAACTGACATCTGGTTTGCTCAAATACCCTGTCTCGCACGTCTATGAATGATCTTAACGCAATTACGTCTGTAAATGGCGAGAATGATTTAGAGTTCGTGAACATAAATTAGAAATCAATGAACATGATCATGAGAACAGACTTATTGACTGATTGATATTGTTTTGGTTTTAACATCACCTTCATCAGTATCTAGTTTTTCTTACACACCTGTGGGTGAGAAACCCATTTGAGATAACTGGTATCAAACATGTGTGTGAGATCGAATTCCAGGCTACTCCATGGTGATGACCTAAGGTCTGATTGTGACGGACTTTCCTGATTGTAAGCTACTGAAAAGTTTCTCGTGCTTCAGTCAAATGTTCATCTTCGTCTGTGTTGAACGTTATGGGATTTAGAGTGTGAACCCCCTGGAAGCCACAGCCACATAAATGTCCCTCCTCTTCAACCCTCACTTCGATCTGGAATACAATATTCAAAGTACACCATACACACTAACTTCACAGTTTTGAATTCCCGCTTCTGTGATATCATCCACTGTCGTTTTAGGCAAAGCAAAATTACTGAAAGTGACCTCTGAAAAAAAGGTACATTGTAAATCTCGCTAAATCACTATTTGCGGCGTTATTAACTATGTGTTTACAAATGTAAATATCGGATATTTAATTACTTGAAGAATTGAATTTCAAACATAGCATATTAGTGATCAAGGGTATCTGTTTTTTCATTAAATCACTAATGATAATTCTGAAAAGTTGCCGATTTTTGGAAAACACGCAAACACACGAAGAGTAGTTTCCGCCATATATGGATAGTGTTTACAAAGTCACATTCCACGTATGCTGGTAATGAGACGCCTATCAGCTCACGTATATTTCAAACTCATCTGCGATACATACATCCCTGAATTTCTCATACATTTCAAAGTCAAATAACAAATGGTCTTTGCCACCAATGCTAATTATCAAGCGAAATCAAGCGAAATAAATTAGGTGTGGAAACGAAAACTGTACTTTTTGAAATATAAACAAAGCAAAATTCAAATTTTACACTGTAGCATTTTCTCCTATTTTGAAAGATCCATTTGTCTAATTGTTGCATACAGTGGCTCACGTTTAAGAATATTCATGTGAAGAGTATCGTAGTACACATTATGGAATTACAAATATATACATTACAATGATCAGATAAATTTAACAGAAATCGTGGCGGTAGCCTAGTGGCAAAAGCGTTCGCTCGTCACGCCGAAGACCCGGGTTCGATTCCCGACATGGGTACATTAATATTGTGTGAAGCCCATTACTGGCGTCCCCTGCCGTGATATTGCTGGAATATTGCTAAAAACGGCGTAAAAACCATACTCACTACTCACTCACTAACAGAAATCGTAAAGGTTTCCGTTTTCTGTAACGCAATGACTGACGCAAAATCACGCACAGCTAATTCTCTTGGTTGCACTGGAAAACATAAATCAAATAGCAGTTCTTAAATTGTCTGATTGTTTCTAATTACTTACATGACACATTTATGAATATACGATTCTCAATCAACGAAAATGATCTCTATAAGTCCCGCTACTGTACAGTGAACACGCTATTTTGTAAAAGTCGGTCACCAGTAGTGATATCATGCGGATATTGTACATATTTGGTAAAATTATTTAGGTGAAAAATATTAACTCTGGTGTGCACTCGCGCCTGTTAGATACCATTTATCTTACAACTCGTTGTTTCAATGCGAATAAATCTCGCTTTCGCTCGTTAAAACTCGTTGTGAGATCAATGACATCTGACAGACACTCGTGTAGTAATTTCTCAATATCGCAGCTCGTCGTCGGCTACACGTGAATGACCACAGTGAGGCGGTGGTGTAAAATGCGAAGCATTCACCAATTCAAATGATCGTGATGTCGATAGATTCACCTGACAACTTGACCTCGGGGAGAAGGACAAATATAATAATCACAACAATGAATGTTATTTGTTTTAAAATATTTTACTTAATTCAGACCCGTTGCAGTTTTGTTACGTATTTAGTGAGAAATCATTGGTCTTTAAGTGAATCTGATTTTGCAATACACAAAGCAGGTGCATATGCTGTCGCACATCAGTTCCTGCCGTATTCCTATGAAAGTACTATCGAGCCCCAGACTCGCCCTCATTATATTCTAATTCCTGCTAAACGTTAACCGTACAGGTGCTCGTGGGTTTTACCAAACTGTGACATGTACAATGTACCATTGCGGTCTTTCCTCCCTCACCAAGTAGAAATGCTGTCCAAAGTGACAACTCAGTCTTGCAGATCCGCATATCCACAGCTTTTTAGCATAAATACTATTTTGAATCGCTTCATGATTAATACTTATATAGTTTACTAATTTTAATAATTATGTTAACATTGGCATAACTCGATGCACTTTCAATGAAACTGAAATAATTACAATCTGAATATAATTACGTCACTTACTGAGGTAACAAATATTTTGAGGGCAATCAAGACACCCGTTTTCGACAGCATCCTTTAACGCACCCGTCTATTTTGATTGTTTTGTTATCACTTTTTGATAGTGATTCATAAACACGTGCTCATGATATAGTCGGAACCATACAATCGTCTATGCTTTCAGCTGAGATTATATTTGTACTGTTATAAATAAAGAGCGTGTTTCATTTATAGCTCCTGGAAAGGTAGAGAATCTTCGCATCGCTCAGATTAAAGACAACTTCACGAGTTTGGAAGTCATCTTCTCCTGTCCCAACGAAACAGAAAGACACGGCGACATTAAATATTACATACTGTCGTATGATGCTCAGGTATGTCTTATTGATGGTAAAAATATCATTACACTTTAAATCGTAATGTGCAGAGGAACATATTATATTACTATAATCAGAAAGGCGTAGGTATGACGTACACGTTTACTTTTATCCCAATCCTGCCTTTGTCCACGTAACTAACTAACTAATTTGTATGCAACTTGAGAAAGATTTATGAATGAAATGGATATTCAGTACAAGTAAATTCAAATCATATGTACTGTGTGCGATTATTATGTGGACTGTGCGAATATGTTTTTGCATTTTGACAGGGAGATTATAACCACAGCATGATAGAAAATAATCAAGGATTGAACATTTCTGCTGAACCTGAGCCGAACTGTAACTACTCACGGGTTGTACCCGTGACGCCTGAAGTAAACTACATGTTCTCGGTGAGTTAGGGCGAACTGTGTCTTCCATTTACCGCTAAATACTTGTATCTCTCATGACTCCATGACTGAACTACATTCAGTGACACTGTATAGTGGGAAACCATGTGACCAAACTGTTGTACTTACGTACTTGACAACTGCCGTATCACTTGTACATACGTTGGTTAAGCCTGGCGTAAGATGTGTTCAACTAGCATCATATGATACTCAGAAAAACGTGTATCAGAAAAAGCTAGTTAAATCGGTTCTGTATGCTCGGTTTATATACATGTATGTTTCTAGTAAACTGAACACTACATCCTCTTTCAATTACAGGTTGTAGCTCATGATTCGTATGCTGGGAATGAAACAACTGAATATCACTTCGCAAAAGATGGGCGTACGTTTGTTTCCGACATTTCAATCGCATATAATTCTTGTAACTTGTATCGTACATGTCACTTTCATTTAAGGGTGAATTGTAACCATTCAAAACACTGTCATTCGGTTGTACCAATACAAAAGAAGTGTCGCTACGATATAAATGTTTATTCCATTAAAGACCATTCCTTTCATCTTTCAATGTAAACGTATATGTTGAGTTCTATATAGTATGTACTAGTATTTATAAATAACTTTAAAGACCCATTTCTGTCATCGTGTATGTCGAGTTCTATTTATTTATAACAAGTACATCGTCTCACTGTCGTATATGCATTGTTCAACAGAGCCAGGGAGTGTATCAGATTTCACGAGCACGTCCACCACCAACAGCTCCATCAGTCTGTCCTGGAAGCCTCCCAGATTTACCAATGGCTTCATCCTGGGATATGTCCTGCATGTCCACACAGAAGACGGGGTGTGTCTGCAGGCTGTGCACATTGTCTGTACTGACTGCCAGTCTCATGGAACCTTCAGAGTGAGTCCAGAAGAACAATTGTACCCATGACTGGGTACTTGAATTTACAGTCCTCTGTCCGAGGCATATGCTCAGCCAAAACATATCCGAGTGTCCGGACCTTTAATTATTGTCTTGTCAATAGGTCTAAGCGTGAACAAGGATGACATTGTTTGACATTGACTCTACATTCTACTGCATTCATACCACACTATATTATAATCCATAGATAAGAACTAAATTAAACAAGTATGTACATTTACTATAATATTTTGTAAAATTGGAAAACAAAGTGGAAAACATGATGATGTAATACGATAGGTTGTATGTTAAGTAAATTATGTTGAATCTATAAAATTGAAACCAAGTTAGACAGAAGTGAACCCTGATTTGCGAGTGTCGAGAAGGCTCTTCACGCCGGTCTAGTCAAAGTTGATTACAATTCATCTGGAAAGAAATGAGATTTAACTGTCTCCTCTACACTTATAATAAACTCTTTCTGGTACTTCCGTTTCGTTGCTTTGCATTTCACAAAGGTATGTCTCTGCAGGCACGTATTCGACTAGCCTCGATCTAAAAGAATGTGCACGTTTACTGAAATGCTTAGCAGTGCCTGTGTTGCGGTGTTACGAAGCACACTTGGCGACCTAAGAACGTGTTTCTGGAGATTAATGGCTGTTTTACTTTCGCTTTATTCCACGGCGACTGGTCACTTGATCAGGTGATTTTAGGCTTTAATGATGGAAGGATGGTGTTGTTGACAGTCTCAATTCTGGCAACTTTCTCATGGGTTGAGGTCGTAGTTGGATCTGTCAGACCACAGGCGCTTGGTGACCGTTTCCATATGGTCAAAGAATACGTGATGTACTCTATCATGCTTATAGCAATATTATCCTGTTTTAATTAAACATCGGACGTAGTGTGTCTCGCATTAACTTAGTGATACATTTTTGTTTTAGTACTTGTATTATTTTCGTGGCGCATTTAATTCATAATTTACAGTATTTATATGTACAAATGCTCTTGTAACGCATAAAAATACACATATCTTCTGTCTTTGAACTGATGTCTCCTTAGCTAAAAGTCTTTTGGGGCATGCAGTTGGGTAGCTTTAAAATTTGGGTTTAATCATTCACACGTCACGCCCGGGTTCATTTCCAAACATGGCGTATGTGTGAAGCCCATCATTGATATACCACACATATATTGATAGTAGTATCGATATTAAGGGCAACTGTGTAATGAGGATTTGAAAAGTGTAAATCCGCCAATTCGCTATCTCAACTTATTGTCCGATTTCATGCTTTTCTCAAATCGAAAGTTGAAAGATTTGGTGAATTGAATGATAGATAATAGTGGAATAGATATATCCCTTTTGGATACAAAATACAAATGTACATCTGAAATATATAGATGTATACTCTTCAAAAACCAAAACGCAAAGCCAGATTTGTGTGAGGAAGGACAAAACATTTATACGAGGAACCGTACAAGATATTGAGCCAAAATTTTGTGGAGAGAACACATCTCATCTCAGTTATCAGTACATAGGAAAAGTCCAAGGTGAAGGTCAGCTATCAATAACGTGTATGTCCCCCGTTGGAATCGATAGCGGCCTGTGATCTCCTGCCCATGGAAGAGACGAGTATGCGAATCACATCCTTGGGAATTGTAGCCCAATCGGCCTGCAACGCAAAGGCCAACTGCTGCAACGTCTGGGGTTGTGGTTGACGTCGGCGTAGCCGTCTATCCCATTCATCCCACAGGTGCTCTATCGGGTTCAGATCCAGGGCGCAGGTGGCCCAGTCGGATGTAGCGATCTATGGCGGGGGTGGTAACTCTCGGTCGTCCCGACCTTGGCCGATCACGTATTGACCCATGTTGTTGAAACCCATCCCATAGCCTTGTGGTGGTACTTGGCTCTACATTGAAAACCCTGACTTCAGCTGATCGGAATTCTCCTGCCTGCAGAGCGGCCGATGACGTTGTTACTTTGCACTTCTCTTAATCTTAGCATGTTGTTGAACTGTCACTCTTCGATTGACGCAGATGCCAGGCAATCAAAAACCCTTCACTTTAATACCGTCCATAGTGCTGCTGCAGGTGCAGGGCGTGCAGATCCTTGTTAATGCACTGGGTGCGTTTGTTTCCGAATCGTATGTGTTTCCCGAATAATGGTTAAGTAATTGTTGTGATCATTTAGAGCCGGGAAATTTGTCACTGACACGATAACACATCAAACCTCTTCATTCTGCACCTCTCTGGTCTCTAATTTTGCTTTTATGGCCAACAATATCCGTCTTGCGTTTCTTTTTTTTAAGAGTATATATAACTCCTGTCTATTTGTCCATTGGTTAGCAGTCCATATATTCACAATTTTCCTGACTATCAAGATATCTTCCTTCGTTTTTGAATCATACATGTTATTGGCTTGTTCAGGTAGAGGATGGAAACTGTAGTATTTCCCGACATACCATTATACAAAGACCGGAAACGTCTCTCACCAACTATGACGTCAACTCCCTCTTGTCGTTCACTAACTACACCATCACCGTGGCTGCTGTCAATAACTTCAGCATCGGCATTGACACTTCCGTTGCTATACGGACAGACATTGATGGTAAACACCTTAAATATTGTTACTGTATCAATTTCATTCACATTGTACACATTACTTTCACAACTGGGCGTGGGATGAAACCATATGTCATTTTTGAGTGGTAATAATTTTAAGTTCATTGGAATGAACATTTTATAAATAAAATATGTATGATATCCATTACCATCCTACAAGGGTGATGACTTGACACATTAATGGCGTATGCGGTTGAAATAATGGTACTTTTCCATCCGACTAGTCCCCGCGATGCCTACACAACTCTCTGTCACTGTGCTGAACGCATCGGCGGTGGAGATTACCTGGACGCCCCCAGTTCACAAGTCTGGACCGACGGATTACACCATCCTCGTACAGCAGGCTACAGGAAGACAATCTTCAACGTTCGAGAACATGGACAACTTAACTGTAAACGGTATGATAAGTTGAGAAAAGAGATATTTTCGTTGCAGTGAACATAACACTTGTTATTTCACTGCAGTGAACATAATTCCTGATATTTCACTGCAGTGAACAGTGAACGATTTGACGAAACTATTGTCATACAATAGTTGCCTCCTCTTTTATTGTACCCCTTTGTCGTAAGTGTCAAGCCCGTACACAAACTGTTGACGTCCTTTTAACATTAGTTCCACACTGACAAGCCACAATAATGACAGCTGATCACTACAGAGTCAATATCACTTCTTGTCGTTTGTTATTCTCTTGAAAATGTTTCGTTATAAGCTGTAAATTTCTCATTTAACTCGTCAATCGAGACTGTTCGTTTCGCAAAGCGCCATTTTTGTTACATGACCAGAGCGTATTCTTTCGCTGCCAAAAACGGTCTCCTAGTTTTCAAGAATATTTTTGTTAAAGTTGATTTCATATATAATCATATCGAAATGTATGTTGAAGAATGTTCTTGACCCTGAATATTTTTTCATACTTTTGGTTATATTTTGTAAGATTTGTAAAGACTAAACTACTTTTTAAGTTGCAAATACAAGAGGTGGTGAACCGTCCCTATGTGTTATGTAGGGATAATTTACGTTTCAAGGTTTTACATTTGTAATGAAATAATTAATTTTCCGGTAGATAACTACACCCTAATGACTCCTTTTCCCCAGTCACGAGATGAGAGAAACATGATATTCCACGAGACACATGGAACATCCTCTATATATAAACTATTTATGAAGAGCAATGAAGAGCAACATGTGTGCGTACTTGTGTATATCTCTCTTTGGCTCTTTCCTTGTATGTGACGCGTTTAACTCCTTGGATGCCACAAGGACATGTTTGTCCCTCCTCTTCAATCGTCACTTTAAAGTTTGATAAAACTTAAAATACATCACGCACACACATACACTTCTCAGTATTGATTTCTACAGGGAATTTTCTGTTCTGTGATATCATCCGCAACATTACTGATCATGAGAACGACCTCTTAAAACGACCATCGCAAATTTCACAACTGTTAATCTTTCGATAAAACACCATCCACGGCGTTATTCTGTGTATATTTTGAAATCCAAATATTGAATATTTATTCAGAAAAAGCAATAACAAAAACAACATATTTGTGATCATAAGTATATGTTATTTCTACCAAGCCACTAAAGATCATTCTGAAAAGTCGCCTGTAACCATTGAAACGTTTAGTATGTTAAGAAAATAAATGAACACGATCAGCCATTGGTTAGTGTTTACAAAATCATGTTTCAATCCATTCATCCCTGAATTACGCACTCATTTTGGCATCAAATGACATGTTGTCTTTGTCACTAATTCAAATGGTCCACATGCAATCAAGCGAAATCAGGTGAGGTGCACGTGAGGTTGCGACGTGTTATTACACTCATATAGCGATGTGCTTGGTCGTGTGTGTGTAGCTGCTAGTACTAGTCCGGACTTATGCCGGATTTACAGTGCCAGCCCACTGAGATACCATGCCACAGTTTAACATTTATACCTAACAAACTCCTCGTGGACCAGTCCTTGTTTCATCCCCTTAATGCCGAGTGCCAGGCAGGGTAACAACAAATACATGTCCCACATTTTAAATGTCGAAGATGAACTGAAAATGTGACTGCATGGTAGTATTTCTTTTGGAGTGTAAACAGGTTAATGAATAGTCATTTTATTTCATGTTAGAACTAAGACTGAATATAATACTTCAACAAAATTGAAAATATTTTTTATTAAATGTATACAAGCACGCATTGTAGAAGGATTTAAAAAGGGTGGTGTTGGATGTTTTGCAAAACATTGATGTCAAACAATTCACCATGCCAGGTGCGAGTTTCGTCAAAAACGAATTTCGAATTACTCCTGTGGTTTTATATGATGTGATCAATAGTTACACCCTTTTTTGAAAGATTGAAATCACAATTTGTTAAACTGCTGACATTATTTCTATAATAATTGTTAAAAAGTAAATAAAACAACGTGACATCTCATACAATAACATACATGTCTCCTGATAATTCCTTTCAAGAGGCGCTTTTTTCGCATCTTTCATTGTGTAATTCTGAAACAGGATGACAAGAAACAACCATGTAGTAATGAAGACATTCATGTCCAATATTGAAAAAATATTCGCTTGCTTTGAAATATTCTGAATATTTGATATATGTAATATTGATGCCCCTCTTACTCAATTTGTGAAGCACATTTCTGGTCTCCCCCGCCTTGATATTGCTGGAATATTGCTAAAACGGTGTAAAATCATACTCACTCAATCTTGTCCAATTATGATACACGATACACGATCTAAGCTGTTATCTGTTTAAGAGACATTATTTACATGATAAAAACAGTTATGTTTTGTTGTGCCTGAGAAAAGCGAAATGTTTGTGGGATCTTTTATACTGTGAAGAAAAATTAGGTTTGATATACATTTATCAATAAAACAATATTAACAATAAAACAAGCCATGATGTCAAACAAAAAGAATGTCAATTTATCTGTACTTCATTTCATTTGATGATAAGGCGAGTACGTCATAAATTCAATTAGGTGAATGGTAGAATCTAAGGATTAATTTACATGTTAGATGGGGCCACCCATTTCGCTATTAATACCTTTTTAATTAGAATGATTTTATCATTTCGTAAAATTTGTGATAATACTGAAACGTATACGGTTTCAATATCGATATTTGTGTTGGACTTTTAAAATGTTGTTCCTCGTGAACAAAACAACGTGAAAAGATATTGTCGTGATACACATCCACTTCTCACACAGCGGTCTGAGATGCAATGGACAAGTCCTATGCACAGCGGAGTTATGCCCATTCTCTTTATGCCCGTGTATTTCTCTCTGCCGAAGAAGTTCTATTTTAGTCATTTATGTCAAGCTACTCTTAATGTATAATGTTATATGTAAGCATACAAAGCCATTTGATATAATTTCTTGTCGTTCAGATATAAGGTAGTATTTTGCTCGCTCACGTTTCCGTAAAGCTGAAAATAGGTGCTTGTTATATTATAACGGCACATGCCATAAAAACAGGAACATCGACCTCAAATGATTTTAACGAAGGGTCGCATTTGTAATCTTGTATACAGTTTGTGCGAAGAATTACCGTGAAAGGAGTATTTGTAGGGAAACATAAACGACTGATATAATTTTGGGGTTACTTATTATTTTGGGGTGATGGGATAGCCTTGTGGTTAATTATATAAAGCATTAGCTCGTCATACCAAATATAGGGCACGATTCCCTAAATATATATATGTAGGTACAAAGTGTCAAGACCATTTCCGCTATGAGCACCAATAACACTTTTCCATGAACACAAAATAATAACGAGACATCTTCTTTTCATACCAAAATGAAATCTTCCATTTAGAAAGTTCGAATTCTTTCCTTCAGGTTACAATTCTTCTGAAAGAACCATTGGTGGTCTATTGAGCTCGTGGAGGTACAATTTCAGCATTATAGCCAGTACATGTAAAGGAGGTTCCCGTCCCACGGTCAGAGAAAGTAACATCACCACCCAAGAATCCAGTAAGGGTTGTTTTGCTAATATTGATAAAATACATTTGTCATAATCTTCTTTGAAAATCTTCAAATTTTTCTTTTGATCAACGTCTTGCAAATATTCTGAAGTACTCCTTGGTGTATTCGGGTAGAGACCTTTTAATGTCTTTAATACGTACATACTAGTAATCCAATTTATTATTTCATAACATCATAACAGAACCTTGTGAAGTACAGCAATTGAGCGTTTCGTCGATTCCTGGCAACTTTACAGCTGTAAACCTCACCTGGGACTGTCCCAAGGAAAGAGAAAGGAACGGATTTATCAAGAATTACACCATAGAGTATTCCTATCCGGTACGGTACCATTATGTTAACAAAATACAAACAGCAACACAAGCTGTATTCTCCTCAGTCTTGTGAAATGCTCCTATCCGATCGTCAAGCATTTGGTTCAAATTGGCAAGAACTGAATTTGGCATTCGCCAAGGGATGGTACCAATCAAGATATGAAAATTAGTTTGTGCCAGTATACACGTACAAAGTACATATATTAATTCTGATTATTTGTTATGAAAATTATTTTTTTATATAAATCATTCTTATCTTTTACTCATGACGATGAACAATGCATTGCCAGACTAAAGCGTTCTCACGATATATTTGGCTAAGATTCACACATGCAACGTCTTCCCCTGTGCATGTGAATGGTATTATTTCCAATGCGAGTGCAGGTGTGGCTTTCAAGCGTATGTGTGTTATTCACGTAAGATATGAGGAAAACTCTCATATATTCCTTTCAGTACGATCCTGACTTGCTAAGTGTATTACATTTTGGAAATGGTTTTTATTTTATTTGGCTTACCTTCAGTCCGTATTGTTTATTCCAAACATTTCCGAAAATGGTCCAAAGAAAGACGGAGTACATCAAGCGATACGAAACAATTTCTGGTTAAAGTTTGTCTTGGTGAAGGGAAGGAAAACTGTGTATTCAATGATGTATTATGCTTCATTTTAGTATATCCCTTTGCGTGTGTTCCAATTCATGTTAACGAGAAGTCATGGGTCTAAAGTTATATTGTTTGTGTATTAACTAAGCTCCAGGAAACCTTAATCTGCCATAACAATGCTACGTTGATCTCTAGGGTGCAGAACCTATGGTGTATGGCCACTATGAACCTGAGGATCCGTGTGATGTTACACATACAGCCATATTACCTGTACGACCAGAACACAGCTACACATTCACAGTACGTATTAAGTAATTGTCACTGGGATCTATTTATTGTTCGACAGAAAAGATGGGACAAAGGGATTAACACCATGCTTTAAATAGCACATATTCAATGGATATATTTCGGATCATCGTTGTTTTCAGGATGTTTGTATCAAGTGTTGCATTAAGTTGTGGTTATAGGGCAGCATTGAAATGAAACAATAGATCTTATGACATCGTAGTTTTTAATTGTTAATACTGCTGTGGAGCTAGAGACAATCTTGTTACACGATAATTTTAATCTCAACGAAAACGTCCACGTACATCAACACATTCAAATATATTAAATATTTTCGTTGGTTTGAGTCCTAAACTTCATAAACATCTATTATGCGGAAATGTATTGCATTCGCAGAGGGGAATGTGATATATGTTCTATACATATACACGAATTAACGAAGGTAAACATCTTGTAACGGCATCGAATATACTATGTCAGTTGTCGTCGGAAATGACAACGTTCGCAAGGTGATTTTAACAAGCATAAGCTAGGCAGTCTTTCAAAGTCAAATGGCCATCATTGGACCTTGCGGGTGATTTGTTTTGGTATTTTAGCCAGAACATGTTCCTTTGGGAAGGTTATCTCACTGTGTGAGAAACAAGCTATACATGTATCGACACACAATTATTCTGCGTCCATTTCGACTTCTGCACCCACAAGACGTCATGGTAAATATTATCCGTATTTATGTTGACATGCGGATTTGAAGCAGCATTATTTCCATTTCACAAATACCTTTTCACTCCAGCGTTTAATTTCACTAAGTAATGTCTGTTTTCTTTTAAAAAAGGTTTCTGCTAATGCAATGTACAAAGGCAAAACGAAACAGTCAAACGTGTTCCCTGCTCGTGCTGGTAGTAAGTATTAAAAATGTTTAGCTGACCAATTTGGAGAGTCGCTTGCATAAACAATAACATCCTGAACATGAAATGACACTGCAGGGTTCAGGCGTGTACTGTATTCAATGTATTACGTAATTTATACATGTTAATAAAATAATGTCTCCATAATATGAACCTTTTTAATCCTCGTGTAATATATTCAAATGAGTATTTACAAAATTATGATAAAATATAATACGGATCATATTACATAGCTTAGAAAATTAATACCTAATGTATTATTATTTCTGATTTTTTGTCGTTCACAGAACCCCTGACGAAGACTTCGTCAGAAATATTCATCAGCAAAGCAGCTCAAAGCAAAGACGTTGCCACAGACACATCTTTTACTGTCTCGTTTGATTCAACCACACTTCTCGACGATACTAATGGGAAAATTATTGAAGCAGGAATTCTTGTCATGAAGAAAAATGGTAAACTAAATAATCTATATATTAGTCTCAATTACCAGAGGGATTGTTGCTTATGCGACGTTAAGATTTTATCTTATAACACCCCAAGTAAAGGCTTAACTTCAGTATGTGGTTGTGCTGTGCGTGTGCGTGAGATTGTGCGTGTCCGTATTAGAAACACAAACAATACGTCAACCAATATTACGAAAGAAAACCCCCGAAAAAGGCCAAATTCAGAGAGTCGAGAACATTTATTGGCATTGCGTTTCGAGAATAACATAAAAAAACGCTGTTGTTTAATTTCTTAACTTGTCAAATGGTAATACATAGAATACTACATGAGACGCAAAATGGTGAAATACCGATAATTTGATGTTTATGAATGGACGCCTCAAGACCCTGCTAAAGGCATAATATCATGATGGCAAAATCATCATGGAGAACTAGTTATTTACATGGCTATCTCTTTTGCAGTAATATGTAATTGTACACATTAATGCACAACCAGTTTGAATGACGCACATTTACATTAATTTTCAAACTAATTTTTCCATGCATATAGAAAAAACATCAAAGCGTCCAGAAAATATGACGGATTGGGACACATGGAAGAACTGGTATAAGTGGAAGAATAGCGGGTATAAGGGTTCTTACCGCCCCACCCCAGAACACTACCTGATTCATGTTAGGAAAAGGAGGAGCGCTCCTACAGGTAACAAAGTTGCAAAACGAAAAATCTCAAATAGATAACTACTACTTTTGGTATAAGATATATCAAGTGATTCTACACGGAACACGTAGTCACCCTTTAACCATGACAAAGCTAACTAGAAACTGAATCTTATGCCCAATGTACTATGATGATTTTCGAATGACGAGTAGAAAACAGTATAAACCTGGCAGTTATAACGTACTTTATGACTTCAGGGGAAAGTCTCATGTCTTACTCGGTTGGTGTGGATGTCAAGTGCGACAGTGAACAAGACCAGTTCTGTAATGGACCCCTGGAACCAGAGACTATATATAAGTAGGCATTGTTTCTTTCTTTCACATTATGCCACACAAACGGGATGAATGTCATGAGCATTGTGTTACAAGTTTTCTGAGATCTGTTAAGGGTCGTTTCCATCACCACGACGATACGCAGTAGGCGTTTTACACAATGTACCCCCGTCATGTAGGGCGACAAAGCCGGGTTTTCGTCGTGACGAGCTGAATGCTGTAAACTTTAGGCATCTGCATCATGCATTCTTTTAAGCTAGACTGTTGAGGATATTTCCAAATCTGATGGGACAAAAACGATGTCCGATGTCCAATTGCAGAGACGATGCTCGTGATATCAAGCTCTGGAGTGTCTGGTAAAGCTACATGACGGCGGTGTGTAAATAATCGAGTCTGGACCAGACAATCCAGTGATTGACATCATAAACATCGATCCATGCAATTGGGATACGATGACATGCATCAACCAAATCAGTGAGCCTGACCTCCCGATCCCGTTAGTTGCCTCTTACCACAAGCATAGTCGCCTCTTAGGGCAAGTTTGGCTTGCTGCAGACCTATTCTAACAAGGATTTTTACGGACATTGATAGTGCTACCCCACGTAGACACATTAAGCTGATTCCGAACAAGACCAGATGTTTGTCACTTAGGCGTCAAATGACCTCCACATGTCTACCTGAAACATTTTGCATGCTTTGCTAAGGCCCAGAACTTTTCAGAAAGAGTCGTAAACCGCTCTTTCTAATTTGCAAAGAAAGAGCATGGTCGATTGTATCTCAAAAGTTGTGAAAAGTAAACCCCAAAGACTAGAGCTGCTGGAATATTGATCGACATGAAGGGAAAGTTCACTATTGGAAAGTAGGAGTCCTTCCTCTTCTCATAGTCTTGTGGCGAGGTATCTGTTACTCTGTGTAGAGATCTAAATATGAAACAGACGACGCTGTCTCGCTTGTCTCCTTTTTTTCTAGTTCAGGTAGGAAAACCGTGGAAGGGAATTGACGAATTGACGGTTATTGAACGATATCAGATCGTCGATATGCACGAAGCGTAAGATAAACGTTTTGGCCTAATTGCCTTGTTTAGATTATGCCCATCCAAATAGAATTTCCGACTCTTCAAACAAAACAGATCAGCAAGCAGGGGGAGGGTCATAAGTGATGCCCATTATGATGCCTATTTCATGCCTAGTCCAACATGTCACATATTGTTTTCTCAGTAAACTTCAGATGACGTGTACTTTCATTTTTGTACCAATTGTCCTGATCCTCAGAGTGAGTGAGTGAGTTTGGTTTTACGCCGCTTTTAGCAATATTCCAGCAATATCACGGCGGGGGACACCAGAAATGGGCTTCACACGTTGTACCCATGTCGGGAATCGAACCCGGGTCTTCGGCGTGACGAGCGAACGCTTTAACCACTAGGCTACCCGACCGCCCCCCTGATCCTCAGAAGATATATAACAATATACATGTATAAGTTCACTACGTTTTGTAACAAATGGCCCACGGCTTAGGATACTAATGTTACTATCTATATTCCAGGGTTGTTGCTGTGTCGTGTACCAGTGCTGGTTGTACATCTACTGATCCGTTCGGTAACTTCAAAACAGAACGTATGTTGAAATTCACGTGAAAAATTATTGATGTACTATATATTTCAAATATACTTGCATTATTCGGAATATATGAATCCTTAGTCATTTGTGTGTGCATAATCACTGTTAAAATCTGCAAGTTTTCCATCCGACAAATGTAATTTTAACGATTTTACATAAAAAAGGAAAAATGTCTTAACACGTCCCATTTTAATTCTGGAAACCCAAAAGTCCAGAAACTCTACGCTCTTTGCCCAGTCTCGGTTAAAGGTATTTACAAAATTAAACATGCCGTTTTCATGGGAACATACCAAGGAAGAAAAAATGAAAAAAAAATTGTTTAAAAACTCAATATTTAGACTATGTCGCCCATGGGCCTGCCCATGGGCGAAGTCTGGCCCATGGGTAGGCCCATGGGCAGGCCCATGGGCGAGAATATGTTCCTTTACTTAAAACTCATGTTTTTGATTCGCAAATACATTTAATGTATTCATTCAAGTATCATGACACAATATTTAACTCATTTTAACTTAATTCAACGATTTTATAACGATATTGAAATATTTCGCCCATGGGCGAGAAAAAGGTTTGGCCCATGGGCGAGAATATGTTCCTTTACTTAAAACTCATGATTTTGTTTCGCAAATACATTAAATGTATTTATTGAAGTATCATGACACAAAATTTACCTCATTTTAACTTATTTCAACTATTTTAAAGCGATATTGAAATATTTCGCCCATGGGCGAGAAAAAGGTTTGGCCCATGGGTAGGCCCATGGGCAGGCCCATGGGCGAGAATATGTTCCTTTACTTAAAACTCATGTTTTTATTTCTTAAATACATTTAATGTATTCATTCAAGTATCATGACACAAAATTTAACTCATTGTAACTTAATTCAACGATTTTATAGCGATATTGAAATATTTCGCCCATGGGCGAGAATAAGGTTTGGCCCATGGGCGGGTATATGTTCCTTTACTTAAAACTCATGATTTTGTTTCGCAAATACATTAAATGTATTCATTGAAGTATCATGACACAAAATTTAACTCTTTTTAACTTAATTCAACGATTTTATAGCGATATTGAAATATTTCGCCCATGGGCGAGAAAAAAGGTTTGGCCCATGGGCGAGTATATGTTCCTTTACTCAAAACTCATGTTGTTTTTTCGCAAATACATTAAATGTATTTATTTAAGTATCATGACACAAAATTTAACTAATTTTTACTTAATTCAACTATTTTACGGCGTTATTAAAATATTTCGCCCATGTTTACGTCAGTCCCTTTCAAGCATCAACTAACTGTTTGCAAAGTATATTGTATCATGTGAAATATACTTTATATTATATCATTACATTACTATTTAAAAAGGGCATTTGGTTGGATGTTTCCTTTAGTTCTACAAATTTCACCTGTTTTACATATTGTAGCGATCTTTAATGAACCCGGCCTTACCTCTCAAAACGTTTTGACAGTTTATCATACGAATTCATGTGCATGTACTCCAATTCATTGGAGTTATTTTCCACAACATTAAATTTTAGTTAGTTTCTATTTCATTTCCCATTTAATGTCCCGTTGATACATCACACTGGGCAATTGCGTGACACCAGGTATGCAATATACAGGTACGCGTGCGCGTATTTTAATGAAAAAAACTATTCGTCTTTTATTGCATAACGTTTGGCTGAATATCTTACATTCTAACGAAATCTCGAAATAATTATTTAATTACATGCGGTTTCGAACTGACCAGTGGGAATTATGTTTCAATGCGATTGAGGAAAACGTGAGTGAATATTGTGACACTAAAGCAACTTTTAACTGCATTGTCACTTTTGGTATGAAAATGGTAACAGTTCAGAAAAAACAACAGCCTTCTTATGATAATTCTCATTAGTACGTTGTATCTAATTACAGTGTCGGCCTTATTTACAGGTGATTCTACAATACCTGCTCTCGGTCAATTACAATCTACCACACCACGCGTGAATAAACAGTTATGCAGGTGTTGCTGTGGGCAAATACCTAGCCTGAAAATGTTTATTTTTTTTAGGATACATGTTTTACAAATGTTCGTTGATTTGTGGATATATTAAGCACAAAGACAAAAAAATGTTTATGAAAGATGAATTAGTGCCTTGATATATTCATCGAGATGTGTATCATCGTTTAATGGGGTCATTCAATAAACGTATGTTTGGAGGAGATGTCAAAGGAGCCGCCCAATATACACAGTGTCGTCCGGTGAACTACCACCCCACCCTGTCCATTAGAGTTATGTAATCGGTACACAAATATATTTGATGCGGTGTCAGTGCGGAAGGAGTTTGAATTACGTCCTCCAGTTGTCACAGAAATCCTCAAAGTATAGAAACAATAAACAAGGTCAATCCGTACTAATTACCTAGTGACGCACGTAACAACGACTGTCAATAGGGAAAATGGTGAAAACAAATTGAAATAGATTTTAATAAAACATTACTGTACTACATAACTCGCAAAAGCGGTGCCTAAAATTGTTTGACCGTGTTATGTGTGTTGTAAACTGACGAATAGCAAGTAATTGTCATGCTGTACGCATGGTTCCATATACAAATTCAGTTATACAACCGGTATGAAACTGAGAACTGAGATACCAAGTACAACCTGCATTCACACACGGAAGCAATATACTTGTGTGTATGCCCTCTCCTCTAAAAAATGTATCACTAAAGTATTTGCATTGTAATAAATATAGTAATGATAAAACTTGGTAATTTGGTAGGTCTCCGACAGATATGATTTTCAGTCTTTTTACATCTTTGATTGATACGGATTACGTACCTGTAGTCTAGTCACTGTCTCTAATGTATCTGCTTGTTAGAAATTTCAAATGTCTTGTTATAGCACTGTTCCTAAAATACGGCAGTTTCTTTTATCGGGTATAAATAGTTGATTCGTCTTGTCACGCAGTCATTTTTTTACTTGATCGAATGATTTCCACAAAAAATTACGGCAGAGAGTGTTGTATTTTATTATATTTTTAGAAGATTTTAGAAGATGCTTACATCACTGTATCTCAGAACGTAAAACTGATAACATTCAAACATGTAATTAGTACACAGTTAATTGTTACATATAATTTCATGCATATTCCTTTTTGAACAAAAAGCCTACATGTATACTGATATCGGTGTCCACTGTTAAAAGGGTATTAGTGCAGTCAGCCATGGTAAATGGAGAGACAATAATAAGGTGATTAATTATAGTCTGTTGCAGAATATGCGGTATAAGTGTAGTCATTGATACATATACACATTACACATATACAGATGAAATACACGATATGATGCAGTGCAAGAACAAATTAAGATACGGTTTCTATTAAAAATAATTATACGATTTTGGATTTAATTTGCATGTTTAAATTTTCAGGCCAACACGGCTGAGATACAGCATCGGCATACTCAACTGGAGTTGTTTTCTGCCGGTCGTAAGTTCATTGTTTGACTGAGCACACTCGTGTCGGGGTTGCGATATTTTCTTCTCTTTGTTGGCAGCCTGCCACCGGTCTGAATTTTGAGAAAGGTCTCAGCATGGGACTGTAAATTACTTCTTAATGATGTCTACAAGCTTACAAACTTGTAGATGTTGGGTGTGGTTAGGACCAAACTTTTTTCAGCTCAGAGTGTTAGTGGTCCTGGAACCCATAGTGTCAAACAGGTTCTGCACAAAACGTCCATCAGATTCTACTGTTCAGCAACATTGTCACTGAATTTCAGAACTCTGGCATGATATAATAATCAAGGATTTCGAAGGTGAACGAGGGGAAAGGCAGACGCACGTGGATTTACCCTCAGGTTATTATTGTCTGGAGTTCACATTTTGGGGCATTTCATATACTAATTGAACAGAGTTTACCTGCACATGTCCACTTTAGTGATACAGACTGTAACCAAAAATGCAATGAGCCGTAGCTCTTAATCCCTTATAACAACGGTAACAACAACCAGGGTGAGGACACAGTAAGGTTAAACCGTGTCCAACAGACAATCTGAGGTGGCTATCTCCCATCAAGTCAGTTCTGTTTTTAAGCGCATAGTTATGTTTTTACATATTGAAATAAAAGGAATTTAAAAAATTATATTTAACAAACCTACACATTACCAAATACAAAACTGTATAACCCTCTCTAGACTTCGTTCCAATTAACCTGGCTCATTCAACTCGCTCGCGAAGGTCGTATGCGACTTTAAAGTGAATACGTCTACAGTGTACAAGTAACTTTTAACTGTATCATATATACTCATGATAAGCAATTATTTTCGTTCCTAATTCGAATGAGCACATTCTGAGGCTAAATCTGCAAAAGGACAGATAAAATATTTCTTTGTACAATGCAAACGATACAAACGTAGCGGCTGATAATAGAGACAATGATTTAATAATCTGCAATATATCAAGTGTTCTCGTTCAATCTATTGTACATATTGAAGTGATTGTAAAGTTTCAAGGAGTACTAAAATGTTGTGGTATTATGAATGTATTTAGAATATGAATGGCGAAAAACAGTCACCATATCGGATGTACATGTATAACTTGTCTTCCAACACCACGCTTGTGCCGAGGCCCATGGTCATAAAACTAATCGGTCCCATAAAAGGAGCAAATAGTTTCGCAGATACTTCTTGCTATGGTTCACTCACAATTGTCAGACGACCTAATCATCAGTCAGACCAGTCAAGTGTGACCAGCGTACCTGCCTGGTTTTGGCTCCTAATTACTGAACTGCCCAATACTTTCATACTGTTGGCAGAGTAAGCGGCCTCGTTGAGTGATACAGACTAACCAGATTATGATTGTGTTTGTAAGTTGCGTTTAATCTGTGTCGGGTTGCAGTTGTTTTATTAGTCAAGACTAGGGGTAGTTTTTTCAATGAAACCTTTTAGCCGTTGAGTTTGTTTTGCATTCATTTCATTAAATACATTGTTAGGTAGAATAATAACACGTTATATGGATAAAACATCTCCCTAATCTGAGTATAATCTCACATGTACTCTAAGTACCGTACTATATTACTTTGCGGAGACACTGAGTATAATTTTTTAGTTGGCATTGTATGCTGTCTGAATGACTTTACACAAATCCCTGCATTCAATAGACCCGTGAAGATCTTCAACAAACCATTCTTGGCGTAAAAGGGCGACAGCGCTTGTCGTAAGAAGCGACTACCAGGATCGGGTGGTCAGGCTCGCTGACTTGGTTGATGCATGTCATCGTATCCCAATTGCGTGGATCGATGCACATGATGTCAATCACTGGATTGTCTGGTCCAGACTCCATTATTTACAGACCGCCGTCATACAGCTGAAATATTGCTAAGTGTGGCGTTATACAACTAACAAACAAACAAAACACAAAAAGAGAAAGTGTATGAGTACTAAAACTTGCAATAGATATGCGTACCCTACGTACACACATGTGTCCCATTCGACAGTCTACAACACACGAATAACTGTCAAACAAGTTTGGGTACCCTTTCTGTTCAGGCAAGTTATTTAGTTCGATAATTTTGTATTAAAATCCTTTTCAATTTGTTTTCATCCTTTTCCCCTATTCCATGCATGTTTATGTTGCTACATCTTATTGCTCATGTTTCCAAGTATTGTAAAACACTTTAATGTTTCTCCTTCTTAATCTAACGTTATAACATTTCCGGTCATTGCCATCATCTAATACACAAGAGATGATACCAAGACATATTTTATTCGGTTTTATGGTCTATGCGGTCTTACAATTGATTTTATTAGTCTTTAAATCTTATGTCTAGTAAATATTTTCACAAACAGGGCTGTTAACTGATATAAGGAATGTAACATCCAGTTGAGGACTGAATACGACGTACGTTAGTCTGGTAACGACATTTCTACAATTAATATTTTGAATAAGCCGTTAATACGCCAGTTGTGACAGGGATGATGGTATGGTAGATGTAGCAGACATATTGACAGCCGTTGTTACGCGAGTCACTAGGTTATTAGTACGGCATTGGCCTTGTTGATTGGTACTATACTTTATGTGGCCACTGGCGGACGTAATTCAAACTCCTTCCACACTGACATCGCACCAAATATATTTGTGTACCGATTACATAACTCTTACTGACAGGGTAGGGTGGTAGTTCACGCGAAACGGACGACACTGTGTATATTGAGCGGCTCCTTTGATATCGCCTCACACCATACTTTTAATGAATGACCAATTAAACGATGATACACATCAGGATCGCGGAGAAAATACAAGCTTCGTTCGCGTTGAATATATATATCAAGGCACAAATTCATCTTTAATAAACTTTTTGTGTCTTGGTGCTTAATATATCCACATATCAACGAAAATATGTAATACATGTATCCACAAAAATATACATGTACAGGCTAGGTATTTGCCCACAGCAACACCTGCATAACTGTTTATTCACGCGTGGTGTGGCAGATTGTAATTGACCGACAACAAGTATTGTAGAATCACCTGTAAATAAGGCCGACACTGTAATTAGACACAACGTACTAATGAGAATATGAGAATTATCATAAGAAGGCTGTTACGTTTTTCTTAACTATTACCATTTTCATACCAAAAGTGACAATGCAGTTAAAAGTTGCTTTAGTGTCACAATATTCACTCACGTTTTCCTCAATCGCATTGAAACATAATTCCTACTGGTCAGTTCGACACTGCTTGTAATTAAATAATTATTTCGAGATTTCGTTAGAATGTAAGATATTCAGCCAAACGTTATGCAATAAAAGACGAATAGTTTCTTTCCATTAAAATACGCACACGCGTACCTGTCACGTAATTGCACAGTGGGATGTATCAACGGGTCATAAAATGGGAAATGAAATAGAAACTAACTAAAATTTAATGTTGTACACGCACATGAATTCGTATGATAAGCTGCCAAAACGTTTTGAGAGATAAGGCCGGGTTCATTAAAGATGTTTGGTGCGGTTAGGACAAAACTTTTTCAGCTCAGAGTGTTAGTGGTCCTGGAACCCATAGTGTCAAACAGGTTCTGCAAAATACGTCAATCAGATTCTACTGTTCAACAGCATTGTCACTGAATTTCAGAACTCTGGCATGATATAATAATCAAGGATTTCGAAGGCAAAACCTTTTCTCGCCCATGGGCGAAATATTTCAATAAATCTGTAAAGTAGCTGAATTGAGTAAAATTGTGTTACATTATGTGCCATGAAAATAGTAAGAACACCTGTATTTGCGAAACAAAAACATAAGTTTTAAGTAAAGGAAAATATTCTCGCCCATGGGCGAAATATTTCAATATCGCTATAAAATCGTTGAATTAAGTTAAAATGAGTTAAATTTTGTGTCATGATACTTAAATAAATACATTTAATGTATTCGCGAAACAAAAACATGAGTTTAAAGTAAAGGAACACATTCTCGCCCATGGGCCTGCCCATGGGCCTACCCATGGGCCAAACCTTTTTCTCGCCCATGGGCGAAATATTTCAATATCGCTATAAATCGTTGAATTAAGTTAAAATGAGTTAAATTTTGTGTCATGATACTTCAATAAATACATTTAATGTATTTGCGAAACAAAATCATGAGTTTTAAGTAAAGGAACATATTCACGCCCATGGGCGAAATATTTCAATATCGCTATAAAATCGTTGAATTAAGTTAAAATGAGTTAAATTTTGTGTCATGATACTTCAATAAATACATTTAATGTATTTGCGAAACAAAATCATGAGTTTTAAGTACAGGAACAAATTCTCGCCCATTGGCCAAACCTTTTTCTCGCCCATGGGCGAAATATTTCAATATCGCTATAAAATCGTTGAATTAAGTTAAAATGAGTTAAATATTGTGTCATGATACTTGAATGAATACATTAAATGTATTTGCGAATCAAAAACATGAGTTTTAAGTAAAGGAACATATTCTCGCCCATGGGCCTGCCCATGGGCCTACCCATGGGCCAGACTTCGCCCATGGGCAGGCCCATGGGCGACATAGTCTAAATATTGAGTTTTTAAACAATTTTTTTTTCATTTTTTCTTCCTTGGTATGTTCCCATGAAAACGGCATGTTTAATTTTGTAAATACCTTTAACCGAGACTGGGCAAAGAGCGTAGAGTTTCTGGACTTTTGGGTTTCCAGAATTAAAATGGGACGTGTTGTCTTATTGTCATGTTTTTAGTGCAACAATAGGCAGTTTAAGGCATCTTCGTCGTAGATATGTGAAAAGTAGTCAACTTGACATCCTCGAATGCTGACATCATTGTGACAAAAGACGCTTGTTGAAGTTCTCCTCAGTCAATAACCTATAATATCTTTACCCACTATTTCTTTCAAATTTATTCGTCTATTATCAGGAGCTACAGATTTGCGTTACCACGTTTTAATGTACATTGAATGTATAGAATAGAACACTAAGTAAAACCCATATAGTCACATGTAAAGTCTCGATTTCAGCCAGTATTGTACTGGCGAGTGTACTCCGCGACAGACGAATATATACGATATTCTTTCGACAACTTTTGTGAGTTCAGATCCCGCTGGTGACTCACATTTTAACACAACTTTATTACAAAGTTAATTGGACTAATTGCCTTGCAATCTGTTACCAGTTAGTAAGATGTATCCCGGGTGAAAACCAATTGATCCATTGTATAAATGTACATGTAATATTTTCTCATTCAAGGCATTTTCAAAAGCAAATAATATTTTAATGCATGCATTCCTATTTATGTGATATTTACATTCATCACTGTTATTGATTTAGCAACGCCCATTGTCGGCGCTGTAGTAGGAGGAATAGTAGCAGCCGTCGTCGTCATCGGGGTTGTTGTAGGAGTCGTTCTTCTCCGTAATCGCCGCAAAAGGTATACATTTATTTCGTCTGAGTTTAAATCGTTAAAAAGAACTGCTTTGTAACAGATATTTCGAGAATCTACATCCTATCACAGACATTTAAGTACTGATTAATCGAATTGATGTCCGTTATCGCACAGATTTATATTAGTACAATGTCTTGTTTAACACTTATATGTTCATTTCTAATTTACTTACTTACCAGTTTAAAAACTGCCCTTTTGGTTATCCCTGTCGTATTCCGTTCGAGATTGTATATGCTGAGTATATGTTAGTCGCTGTGAGCGAGTGAAGGAGGGCAATGGCGTTTACACCACTTTCAACAGAACGTCAGTTGTTTCTGCTTAATTTTGTAGAAAAATCCTAAGTTATGAAAGCCTTAAACCTTTTCTTCTAGTGTGAAACCCACGATGTATTTGTGCGGGATCATAATCCCCCATAGTTTGTTTTGAAGTCTTGAATTCGAAACCACGATCATACGATCCTGGCAAGCGAAAGGAATACAACAGGACGCATCGACGACACTGCTAACTCTGCCCAACTGGTCTCAGGAATGATGGGTGGAGCATGATGAATGTACGTCACAATCGCGACGAGTGGGAAAAGAATCATAATGATTGATGTATTAATGTAGACAAAGTCACTTGCTGTTATAGGAAGAGTCATGACGGTAACGAAGACAACGAGTCTGAGGATGATTATGAGGCCGAGGATAATGTCGATAATAAGACGATGTGAGTTGTTGCAGTTTGATTCAGACAACTTTTCCTTTTTAACTTTAAACTATATTTGAAACAATACATAATAGATTTGAAAGTAAAGGACGAAATAATTTAAATGATGTTTACGAGATGTTTACACACACACACACACACACACACACACACACACACACACACACACACACACACACACACACACGCACGCACGCGCGCACACACACACACACACACACACACATATATATATATATATATATATATATATATATATATGCATAAATTTCATGTAGGAAAAAAGGGCCAACAAATCTATATATATGTACATATTCCCAATATACACACCCGCCCGCTGGTGTGTCAGCTGTGTAACAGATACACAAACGGCATCAGGGCGATTTGCTGGCTCAGGGGGCAGATGGCATCAATCGTCAGCACTTCCGGTAACACATGCACTGTCACGCCAGATGAGAAGACCAAGCGCTTGCGAGAATTTCGGCCTAGCCTTACCGCGGTTGAGGTGTAGAATTGCCGCACTTCCCTGCCCTGAACCTACATCGGCCCTGGCGAAAAGCCACTGTCAGTTTGCATGAATTGAACCGGCGCCAAACGCTTGGCTCGGCATTTCAGAGGGAATGCTCAGTGTACCTGTGTAAGACACAGCAGTAGCATCTGAGAGCAGGACAAACTATACTGGCCTCGTGGATGTATTAATGTACAACCGGAGAATATTCATATTGAAGTAAGATTCTGACATACCTTCCCCGCTGCATGCTCCAAAACATATATACTGCGACTTAAAATTACCAGTCTGTGACCCTGCCCTACATATGGCCAATGATTTCCTTAGCCATCCATTCGATGTAAAGCGTTATCTAAAATATATGAGTTGAATAACAATATTCAGATGATATACTGTACAGACAATGGATTAAACACTGCAAATTGTAAGTTATATTTTCCTTGCACATGTATCGCACTGTAAATAAGCAATAAGACGCATTGCTGATGAATCATCCTACCACATCTTTATACAGACGGCAGTTACTGTTTTGTCTGTAGCTATGTTTACTGAGGAAATACCTAATCTCTATTTGATCATGAAGAGAATTTGGAAACAATTATTTTAGATGGTTTATATACATTATTGTTTCCCAGGCCTAAAAAGATCGCGGATTTCGACAAGATCGTAAAGGATTTATACAAGGATTCAAAGCTACTCTTTACCAGAGAATGGCAGGTAAAGTAACCTTTCAAACATCTGTCATGGGTTAAACGGAAGTGTTTGTTTTAGAGGGGCCCGGTGTAGCGACAAGCAAAGCATGCTTATGCCATAGCCTGATGGTCGGAAGTGTACACTGCGTCGTTACTAAACTGTATAAATATGTACATATTGTTAATTGCTGATAATGATCACTTGTTATCCCAGGCTTTCAAATGAACAAGGTTGGTGTTAACACAACAGTTATCTCCCTTTAAATAACTTTAGGTAAACCGGGTCGTGATTTCTTATTCAATTATGAGAAACTTTCACGGTAAAAATAACTACTCACTTCCACATGTGTGTATCCGTGTCATTGTTCTTGTATCAAGAATAGATGGAACCGTTAATGAAGCAAATACCTCAGGACACAGCACTCCCACACTGTGCGTGGTTTATTTGTTTTGTATCCCACGTTGTTTCAGCAACTCGCCGCTGCGACTGTGAAGCAACCGTCCGAGAATGCGGTGCTGGTCGGCAACAGATCCAAGAACCGATACGTCAACATTCTGGCGTGTAAGTAGTTATTATATACCCAACATAACTGTCAGAAGAAAGGCTTCTTTATGTATCATGCGTAAATTATTCTTTATCTCGTCAGGTGTGTCACAAGAATAACATCATTTCTGCACTAGGTAAATTGCCTGCGATATATACACACCACCTTGTGCTGACCTGCAATTATCCTTGTAGCTACCGGTTACTAGTACCTATTAATTTACGTGTTCATCAGTTTGGCTTTGATTGTGTCCCGTTAAAAATAATCAGTGTATAATGTACGGTTAGAATAAGTTCAACAGGATTCACTGTGAGGGGTTACACATCTTATTCATACCTGGAACCTATGATGTGGGTTCAAATATAAGATGGCGCGGTGGGATAGCCTAGTGTTTAAATCTCTCCTCGTCATGTCGATGGCCCGGGTTCGTTCCTTAAATGGGCACTAAGTGTAAAGCCCATTTCTGGTGTTCAACGGGGCGGTCGGGTAGCCTAGTGGTTAAAGCCTTAGCTCGTCACGCGGAAGACCCGGGTTCGATTCCCGACATGGGTACAATGTGTGAAGCCCATTTCTGGTGTCCCCCGCCGTGATATTGCTGGAATATTGCTAAAAGCGGCGTAAAACCTCACTCACTCACTCTGGTGTTCAACGCTGGAATATGGCTAAAAGCGGCGTAAAAGCATACTAACTACATGTAACTCGAATATCAGATGCACCGCGTCTGATCACTTCCACCATGATAGCAGTGCTCTTGGATTTCACCAAAGTAGAAAAAACCCATCTAAGATGTATATGTGAAAAAGACTCACAAACGTAATATATGCCATTGCAGCGATGTATGGTGTTATTCACATAAAAGTAAATTGACTTCAATCGATTTCACTAATATTAGGGGAATCGGGTGGCCCATTCATCTGACAAAGTAGACACAATTTATGGATAACAAATTCGTTAATACTGTAAAGACAACGTTTCGGTTTTGATCCTTATACCGTTATAAGGATAAGGATATATACCAAAACGTCGCCTTTTACAGTATTAAAGAATTTGTTATCCATAAATTTTGTCTCCTTTGTCATCCGTTAACTTAAGTAATGCCTAAAAAACAATCCATTCGCAGGCATTCACTGTGCACAAATCTATGATCGTGGGTTCGAATTCTGGTTCGCCCTGAATGTTTCGTTAGGTTTGTCAGCATATCATTCCAGTGCTTGTGTGTTTCACCAAAGTGGTAAATGTAGAAGACCTGTATCCTCGGGCTTTGTTCTCACACTAATCTGGCACGATGTGATACTACTGACGATAATCTGTAGCGCGGCGTTAACCCAGCAATCGGTTCGCTCAGATAGGCATTGGTCAAATATGTAGCAGCTGCAAGAGGTAACATGCTTTAGAATTAATGTAAGCCAACTCACGAATGCTCAGCATATTGTCACAGTTCAGGATAGTGTTGGAAGCTGGGAGGAATTCCGTGTATCCAGATATGTATTCAAACCGCAGTTGGCAGGCAGATAGAAAAGGCACCGAATCGCCATTATGCCGCTCTTATAGGTACAGCCTTCCAGAAACCGTTCCACCCCAGATCGTCTCGAAGCTGGTCATGTTCCTGTAGGTTACACACAACCAAATGTTTTCCCAAAGGCTACTACAGTAACGTTATATGTTTTTCTAAAAATAATGCATTCAGCAGCTGTTGCCTGAATATGTGTTCACAGTCTGGCCTCACAGCAGCAATAAAATAAAATAAAATGACCAACGTAGCCAGTTCCTTACCCGAGTACATGAAGCTTAACACGCCAGCCACAGTTCCGCATCAAATATCACTTGCTCTAAAATAAGACATTCAGCACAAGTCATCATGTGTAAAAAACATGGTCAGTTTAAAATTACTGGATGGATGTACTTATAAAAAACCCAATAAATATCTGACACAAAATCATCCAATCACAGCTGCCAGCTGATTCAATCTGCACTGAAGGCTAGAAATCTGCTGGTTGCTTGTTCTGATTTGGTGTAGTAGAACCTCTACACAACAAGGGCAGATAACTCTCATAACTCTTATTATAGCATAAAACTATTCTGGAAGATCAACTCGATGCTGTTGACTGCGGTTCAAATACGTCTATGACAGTTTGCTTCAACTGACAATTACTACATAATATGTATTTCGACTGTTACACTCGTCTCAGCAGTAGAAGTGTCTACAAATACTCTCTGATACTATGTTGTAGATGACCACTCCCGGGTCAAGCTGCTGCCCCTTGATGAGGATGAATGCTCTGACTACATCAACGCCAACTACATCCCTGTACGTATATTGACTTATCTTTACTCTTTCTTAGATTACAATAGCGAGTGCCACGTGAGGTACTAGGGGTTAGAATTGGTCCCCAACAACCCGTGCTTGTCGTAAGAGTCGACTTGATGGAAGGCATGATCGGGCTCGGTGACTTGGTTGATCGCGAGTATCACGGCTGTGTGCGACGTCACTCAATACTGGATACTGGATTGTCAATAGTCGCTTATTTACAGGCTCCAGCGGTGATAAAAAACAACAACAGAAAAAAACATAGTGACGTGTCACAGATCTACATTTGATAGACAATATATGATTGATTGATGTTTAACGCCGCACTCAGCAATATTCCAGCTATATGACGGCGGTCTGTAAATAATCGAACCTGGACCAGACAATCCAGTGATTGACATAATGAGCATCGATCCACGCATTTGGGACACCATGACATGCATCAATCAAGTCAGCGAGCCTGACAACCCGATCCCCTCTTACGACAAGCAGACGATATATGAAGTGTGTGAATCTGATATATTCCGTCAATGCAAGAAACCAATATTTCTTTGTATAGTGAGTCTGATTAAAGTGGAGCAAAGTTTTACGGGTTATTGATAGAAAATTGGCAAAGAGTTATACCTCTACTGGAACATTGATGGTATTCTGTAGTTGTTATCGGGTATCGCTCCGGGGTGAAACACAGGTAGACAATCCCAGAGGGGGAGAGAAGATTCGCCCACGTTGTATATTAGTATTTACCTTGATGTATGTTCACCAGGGCTACACATCCCCCCGTGAGTACATCGCCTCCCAGGGCCCCCTGTCACAAACCACCGTGGACTTTTGGAGGATGATCTGGGAGCAGAAAGTCCCTCTTATTGTCATGCTGACAGGATTAATGGAGGGCGGTGTGGTATGTACATCTTGACTTTGTCATCAAACAGTTAACCCTTACATAATAAGAACGAGCTACGAGGCACCTATATTTTCACCTAAGGGTAATGTTATGTCATAACGATGATAACAAAAATCACTTACTGTTATTACCATTGGTAATGTGACCGACAGTTTAATTAATTTATGTTCAGTGACTGCATATTGTAACTAGTATCTCAAAAACAACAAATTAAAATTGTTCACAACTGACGGTCATGATGACACTCCGTATGTTACTTTTGTGTAGAGAAAGTTGGACATGTACTGGCCCGATGAAATGAACGCTCCTAAACAGTATGGCGACCTGGTTGTTGAACTGATAAACAAGTCACCTCTCAGCAAGTTCACCATCATGATCTTCAACATGACGTTGGTAAGTTGAAATGGCTCACCCGCATCAGCCCCCCCACCCCCCACCCCCCACCGCCAACACACACGCTGTATTTTCCAACATTGGAACAGGCACAGGGGTATTGGCCGTGAAGAATAACAGGAAAAGATTGTATTAAATGAAATAAGTATCCACGAGGAGTAAGTACGGTAATATAAGTGATCATTTACAGCTGACCTTTCTCGGTATCCTAAACTCCATACAACGCTTACTCCTCATGTGTTATACAGCACAGTAATGTTAAAGAGATTAAGTTAAGAAATGCAGTATGTAATTGGTGTTGGATCCATGACCAAAATACTTGTACTTTCATAGAGAGAGGTATTCTTTTCAACACAAATTAATACTCATGATCTTGAAATGTATGTCAATATAGAAACGATGGAAGACCATGAAATGTTAGCATTCTTTCCTGTGGCAGATTACAATGTTATTGATGAAATATCGTGGTATTTCACTATGAGTCTAAGTCTTTATATAACATAAAGAATATTCTGAACAACTGTGTTAATAACAATACCAATATTTCTCACGGTGTGTAAGCGGTATTTATGCGGGATACTTCTCCTTTGTGATATGTATGTTAAATAAATTTGTTTGTAAATAATTACATAACTTTGAAATTTGAGAATCTTCCGATTTATAAAGATATTCATTCATTCATTTAAAAGTTACGAGATTTGCAAAGCGACAACTTGTCTTTAACAGATGTTATCCAAATCTGTTCATGTTTTTAAACAAGGTGCTCACGTGATATGATGCACTCCGCTAAGTATGACCTGTTTTATTACAACATAGATTTTGATTATTGACCAGAGCTAGTTTTGTTTGAAGCAAATGCAAGTGATATGACAGTTGGAATCTGATTGGTCAATAGGAGCGACATAACTCGTAATAGCCTCTGGTGGCGCTTTGGTCGAGCCCAGAAATTCCAGCCTAGTTCGGCAAGGGTGGAAACTGGATTATTACATTTAACTCCCTTGCCTCGGAAAGATGTCACCTCGAACCTAGGATAGTGTTATTTTCATCGCGTGTTACCCCTGTAGCCTTGAACCTCGAATAACTTAAATACCACACTCAGTACCCCTATAACCTCAAGCCTGAGACAGCATTGTTATCATATTTTGTCACATCTCACCTAGGACCCTGGAAAGTGTTATATACATCACTGGTTAGCCCGGTAGAATAGAACCGTCAAAAGTGCTAAATGCTCGTTACCTCTGTAACCCCGAACATTAAATGTTACACTTAACATAATTTTATCACTCCTCAAGCCTCAAACCTTCGCTATTGTTGTGAACACATCTTGTCCCCCGCAGCTTCGAACCCGGGATGCACAAACCTATTTTGGTGACATCTGTAATATCGTCCCCGAAAGTGCTCAAAGTGTGTACCTCGCTTGTTGTTCCGGATATTTCGGTCCAGGGAATGTACAAAATTAAACCTCCGTCGATCGTTGTCCTTAAACTCGCAATTCTATTAATATTGACCGTGGATAATAACTTTCAAATTAAGTCGACTACAACTGCTTCTGGAATATACCGTTCATGAATTCTTCTTATTTATTAAAAATGCATACAATATTAACTTTAAAATTAACAGGAATGCGAGGTTTTGACAATTTACTGAGCCTGCTTAGATTCTGCTCTAATTGATCTTTAAATCTTTCAATGGTCCAGCGGTTGCAGTATGTTGTCAAATATTTCAGGGTAACGACACGCGTACAGTGAAGCACTTCTTCTTGCCGGGATGGCACGACTACAACGCCAATCTCGATGAAGGGGACGTCATCGACTTCGCACGATATGTCCGTGCAGAGCTGAAACCAACAGACGAGGGGCCAATGTTGGTCCACTGCAGGTCAGAACACACATATGTGAATGGATGAAAGCCAGATTGTTCCCTCCTACATGTACGTGCAATATCGTACAACAATGCACGATCTAAGTACAGGCATGCTTTGTGAAATGCATAACTGAAATGTTCGTTTCGATGTGATTGGTGAGGTTGGGGTAGTGGTAGTTACATGTTATTGAGAGTATTCCGTTGAATCAAACATGACCGAGGAAGCATAGTTTGTATACCTATCCATTGCTGTCCATATGTGTCATTTCAAGTATTCAATTCCTTCACAATGATCTTCCCTGTTATGTGAGACAGACTAGGTTCTGAAACCGCTAGTCTGATATAGGGGACAAATCCGAGCTTGTTTGTCATAAAGAAGCGTTTTGTGGTGATGTCATATTAGACCGTTACAACAAACACATAAATATTTCACGGCGATGTTACTTCTCACTTGCAATTAAGCTAACCACGATGAATAGAGCTTTAATGTGTCCACAAGACAGACACATTATTTAACTGTGATCCTTTCGATTCTGTTTCTTACAACTTCCTTTTGAAATTGAGTGAGTGAGTGAGTTGGGTTTAACGCCGCTTTTAACGGTATTCTACTTATTTTACGGCGTGTCAGCATAATGTGGGAGGAAAGCCCGTTTACTACTTCGGTGAATCCCACGAGCACGGGTATGGTGCTGACCCTTTTGGAATTGACAAATATTAACGGATATGAGTTATACCTTTTAGTGTATGTAGATGTTTTGCCTTTGTCCTTTCAAGGTGATATTGGACTAGGTTTACGAACATATGTAGGAATAAATCTGGCCAGAATGTCAACCTTGATACACCAGTCATCTTCTTGGGCACTTTGGTGTGTTGTTGCTGTTATGACGCCATTGTGATCTCCTGAACACGCTTCAGTTACCATGGGACCTGGCATCCCTGTATTTGAAATTCTTCCAGTAGCACCGCCACTCGCATAGCATGGTTGGTTTGGTTGTTGTTTAACGCCGCACTCAGCAATATTCCAGCTATATGACGGCGGTCGAATAGTATGGGATAGGATTGTGAAACACGTTAAGGTGTTTCAATCAGCATACACACACACGGCCTGCTATACTCTGTGATGACCCCCAGGGCCAATGGCCCATCTAAAAAATCCAAGAGAATCGCTTCGGCACTCCTGATATAATGCACTTTTCCCAATAGTTTTGGAAATATATTTAACTGATCATGTTGTTGATTGTACTAGACATAATGATGAAAAAGGGAAGTTCGGCAAAACAATAATAAGACACGTATTTGTACCACAGCGCTGGTGTCGGTCGGACCGGGACGTACTTGAGCGTGGACTACTTTATCCAGGTGATCGACAACTGCGACATTGACGGCGAGGTCGACATTTTCTCCTACGTCCTCAAGATGCGCAACAATCGACCATTCATGGTCCAGTCAGAGGTAATATTGTTTACTCCATCTGAACAATCCGTTAATACTACAGGAACGACATTATATACACTGTGTTTACTGATGACAGGAAGCATATAAATAATAATGGTTCATTGTTATTGCGATTTTCCGTGTTAGATGACATGATGCTCAATGCACACATCTATTATTATGGTCACAGCAATGGATCAGCTTCACACGAACTTCATGCTCAGCCCATCCGGGAGTATACGTCCCAAGCCGTCGATGAGGCGAAAATAAGGATGACATTCACATTATCATCTTATCCTACCGGCTACCCATTCACTGCTGGATGCACATGGACCTGCCCCACTTCAGGCTTTCCTCCCACTTTTGACGGTCACGCCCTGCTATAACTAAAATACACACTCACTCAGTTGTAAATACATGTTGTTTATTTCAATGTAAAGTAGAATATATCAACCAATGTTCAAAATAGGGGCTAACGTTTATCTGCAAAGGACACGCTTTTCCAGAAACATTGTTAACTGCTCTCGGCCAAGTCTCTTCGGTATGATGTGCACCACCCCTTTTTCAAAATCCTGGATCCGCCACTGGTCTGTGATATAGGCCCAAGGCTGGCTGTATAATTATATGATTATATGCGTACTTTCTTACTGACCTTGCTTTAGGTCCAAGGTCAGTCATATCGACCCGAGGCAATGCAGACGACCTATAACAAGGCCAATATATAAACACCAATTAATGATATATTTATCAGACCCGTGAAGATTCCGGGGTAGAATAGGTCTTCAGCAACCCATGCTTGCTGTAAGAGGTGACTATGCTTGTCGTAAGAGGCGACTAACGGGATCGGGTGGTCAGGCTCGCTGACTTGGTTGATGCATGTCATCGATCCCAATTGCGTGGGTCGATGCTCATGATATCAATCACTGGATTGTCTGGTCCAGACTCGATTATTTACAGACCGCCGTCATATACCTGGAATATTGCTGAGTTCGGCGTTAAACAACAACCCAACCAACCAATATATTTATCAAGTGACTACCTAAACTATATGTTTCCAAGTAGTACCAGTCAAGAAGATCAAGAAAAAGCTAAATATGTCACAGTTGTGAGAAAACAGGACAGCAGTCTGTCTGTTGTGATTGCAGTGTAAAAGAGTGAAATCAGGCGCTAAAGCCGTATTGACCCGGCAAAACCGTTTTGCCCTGCTAAACGAGTATTGGTCTTCCGGTGCTTCTATATGATGCGGGCCGATTTCAGCGTGTGACGGACAGTCGATTGGCAATAATAATCTATAGTACTGACCTTTCTTTGGCTGGATACAATATCGTCGGACGTGATATACAGTGGTTGACAACAGGCAGGTGATCAACATACATGTATATGCACAATTGTCATTACACAACAGCCTTAGACAAAATAGCAATTACATTAGAACCATGTCGCTATCAGATAAAAGCTGCGTATTTATGTGCAATATTAACACAAATGAATAGCATACGGTATTCGGCAGTGCGCAAATGTAGCAGGGCGAATTGGGTATTGATGGACTATGCGGGATTACATTTTACTCTGTATTTGAGCGGACATTGTTTTGTGATTTGCATCTTTCTGATCCAAATACTGGATACATGGCAAGACAGTGGACTTCACCGCCACTTTTAGTCAGAATGAACGGGTTTTCATTGCAGCTAAATGTTACTCTTGTTAATAGATAAGCATAAGAAAATAGCTAATAGCTCATCATTGTTACGATATTCGTTCCCATGATTGCAGAAGCAGTATGTGTTCATCCATGATGCTGTCAAGGAGATGATCGCCAGGAAGAAGAAGCTGCTGTTTGGAGAACAGGAGGAAAACATTTACCAGAACCAAGGATTTGGTGAGAGTCAAGAAAATTTCAAATTATTCCGATGTAAATGAGGGGATATCCATGCTCGTCTATCTGGGCCCGTTGCACAAAACTGTCTTAGCGCGAAGGTGATCGTAACTCCCATACTTAAACATATGCTTACGATAGTCGTAGCACTAAGATCGCTTAGTGCAACGAGCCCCTGCACAAAAAAGGTCATGCCTCAAGAAAATGAAGGATAACACAAACAAGGGGCTCTTAAAAAACACCCTTATCCATTAATCTTGTTTGAGCATGTGCTAGAAATATCAAACCATGTAGCCCGATCACATGTCCGAAGTTGTATGGTGTGGCATTCCGGCGCATGATGACGACAAAACTTAGTGATCAGTGAGTCAGTTGGGGTTAATGCTGCTTTAAACAGTATTTAAGTTAAAACTAGCATGAAGGTTAATATGGGAGGAAGACCTAAAGTGACGTACGTGTAGATTGTAGAAAAATGATGCTCAGGTGAAAAAGAGCCGACAAACCTTCGATCAAAATTAGGTCAGGTTTGTAAATAGGTGAAAGAAATTATTATTAATTTCATTCATGAGCGTGTTATATTGCCTTTTTGACCTTTTTCTTAATCAAAACAAATCCAGTTCAAATCCATCTTCTGCTGAAGTCTTTTAAAAACATACTATAATGAAATGTTTGGTCATCATTCGAGGTTCGTCCATTAGATGGGTACACCATGTTAAGGGGAAAGAAAAATGAGTTGTGCCTTTTTTGTACCCCCGAAAACATGTACAATCATTATGGCATCAGGCTACACAGATATATTATTGATTAATAATAAGTGCATTTATAATGCGCCAGATTCCATTCACCAAGTGGATGCCAATAATGCTACAATATTACCCCGGTCAATGGATCAGTGAGCAATCGATTTTCATTCTCAGCTCCCTGGGGAGTATACAACCCAAGCTGCCTGTGGGGCGCTAGAAGGTTAACAGCCACATTACCATGTCATCCTCCCGGGTACCCACTCACTGCTGGGTGAACAGAGGCACATTGCGCACAAAGTCACTTGCCTAAGGAGACACCACATGTGGTACATGTGCTTACAGTGTAAAGTGACATAGTCGACATCATCATAACTATTATCAAATTTCAGTTAGTAACAAATAAATCTGTATGATCAATCTAAGAAGAGTTCTAAGTGTGAACCGGTGCTTTCTGTTTCAGTTCCCGATGAAGCTGACGGTGAACATCTCTACATGAATGTAGTCTCGGGAGCACAGAGAATGTGAACACTGCGGCGTCGTCACTGAGGGATGTTCGCCAGCAAAGGAAACAAAGACAACTGTACCATATGTGACCATTCATTTGTTGGAATGTCTTAAATCAAATGGATGAAATGGACTGTTGACACGTCTTGCGTGTCGCTCGACGGTTCCCAATCAATTAAAAACATTTCAATAGCCAATCAAATGAAAGCATTTCAGTTCGTGCCTACAGAAATTAATATCCATGTATACCTTAAGTATATGCTTTTAAACTTATATTCCTGAGCCTGAAATACATGTATGTTATGAACACTTAATCGTTAAACCTGACACATGTCATTATTATGCTACTATATATATATATATATATATATATATATATATATATATATATATATATATATATATATATATATATATTAGTCAGCATTTAGAAAACTGATATAACAGATATCGTAATATATTTGAGTGATATAAATTAATTATCTCTTAGCTTTGGGACTAATTCCTTTCTTATTATTTTTGATATTTTTACTATTGATTTCAACCTGTGTTACATTTGATAACATTGTAGGATGTAGTATATAGCTTTGAATTTATGAATGTGCTATTGCATTTTGGCTACATAAATGAACAATTGATACACATTGAACACATTGAACAATACCTCAAATCTATACACTTGAGAATATTATTTTGCAATACATTAACTAAACGTATAAATGCTTTAACAGTTTGCCTTGTAAAAGTCTAAATACATTGTACATACATAATTATGTGTGATTATGAAAGGATTCTTTGAGACATCATCATATAAGCTCATTAAATCAGTAATAGATTTGTATATTTTGTTTTAATGTTTTAAGACGTTGATTACATTACACTACACTAATGAAATGAATGTTCTCTTCCGTGTGAGTATTCATAGTATAGTTCTTTTACAATACCAGTTCAATTGCATCACTAGCATTTGCATATATAATGTATTCCTTTATGTCAAATAAAAGTATAGCTTTTCACGCTTTGAGAACATGGTGTTTATGATTCATGTCGAGACGTAACAGCGGTTTTAACAATTTTCTTCCACTTTGTTACTGTGCACAGATGCCTCAATGTATGGCATGTAAAGGGTAAACGCTTAACTCTTTGCTAGAGTTTATTTGTTTCTTCGGGTTTATCTTACATTAAAACTTGAGGTTATTTCAAGTTAATTGCAGCCGCTTTGTCATGTTGCATCATTACCGGGCCTGTAGATTGAGTGAGTGAGTGAGTTGGGTTTAACGCCGCTTTTTACATTATTCCAGTCATATCACGGCGTGCCAGCTTAATGTGGTAGAAAAGCCCGAAGTGATGCAGGTCTCAGACGTTTACCACTTCGGTGAAACCCACGAACACGGGTATGGTGCTGACAAGCCTAGAAACATAATCGGGGCGAACCGGGATTCGAACCCACAATTATAGGTTTCAGTCGTGCCCAAGGGACGCAACTCTGCACAGCGAATCGCGGCGCCTTAGACGACTGGGCCACCCGTGCCCCCTCCGGGCCTGTAGAACAAATGAATATTTGGCAGTAGACGTTCCTCCGATGCCGCTGAACCATCACCCCATGATCATGAAATGAGGTTTAACGTCGCGTTACAGATTATTGCTCTTATTTAGCGACGTTTTGTTTGTTTGTTGTTTAATGCTGCACTCAACAATATTCCAGCTATATAACGTCGGTCTGTAAATAATCGAGTCTGGACCAGATTGTCCAGTGATTGATATCATGAGCATCGATCTACGCAACTGGGATAGGATGACATGCATCAACCACGTCAGTGAGTCTGATCATGACTGCCGGATCCCAGTTGTCGCCTCTTACGGCAAGCATAGTTACTGAAGGATCGTCACGGGTGCATTTAGCGACGTGCATGCATACATGTGTGTGTCTGTTTGCATGTAATGGATATAAAGTAAACTACGGTTATAACGAACTCAAAGGAACCGCCTCCGCGGTCTAGTGGTAGAGCGTCCGCTATATAAGTGCAATAATCTTGGACGCGACGTTAAACCCCATTTCACCTCACCCCACGAACTCAAAGGGACCACAAATTTCAGTCCGTTATAACCGTAGTTCGTTATAAGCCTATATGCAGTATATATACAGGAGGGAAAAAAACAACAACAGTTCGTCATATCCGTCAGTTGGTTGTAAGCATGTTTGTTATAAACGTACTTTACCATGCCGCAATTTTAATATGGATACCCCACTCAGACACAGTATACTGTGTTATTCCCCTAATGTCAAGCGATAGGCAGTGTAACAACAAGTACCATCTTTTAACGTCTTTTGGTATCATGCGACCAGGGGATCGTACCCCTGACTTTCCGATCTCAAGACAAGCACCCTTTCAATTCCGCCACAGAGAATCCATCATGTATTCCTGTACATGCCGGAATTTGCTTCGCCGAGTTATTAAACCCTCTTCGTCTGATATCTGACTCCGTTCTCTGCAACCCCACGTGTTTCTTAAACGGATGCTACACTAGAAACGTGACTGTTCATCGAATTCCGTTTACCGCGACCCCACTATTGTTTCACTATAAACTTGTGTTTGTTTGTTTGATGTTTTACCCTGCACTCAGCAATATTCCAGGTACATGGCAGCGGTCTGTAAATAATCGAGTCTGGACCAGACAATCCAGTGGTTAATATCATGAGCATCGATCCACGTAATTTGGATCGATAACTCTTGGCCTCTGACTTTCTTTGCATCTCTTGTGTATCGCAGGTTACAGGCCGGCAAAGCCACATTTCGAAAATAGATAGCCCAAATTGATGTGGCTCTCGCGGCAATGGTTATGGTTGCGTGATTGTATAATGTGGCTCTCGCGGCTATGCTGTCAAAACATGCTTTATACCGTATATAACAAAACAAGTCTTGTTTTCTCATTTTTTATTCAACAAGGATAACATATTCATCAAAACTTTACATTGATGAATATGAATAGCATATGAATATCATAATGGATTTAATGTCATTACTGCAGATGAAGGAGTTCGCCCACGTGGTCAGCATATTCCATCTCACTCAGGTGTTGGTTCAGGAGCTGGATCTTGAGGGACGCAATACGTGCATCGATTGCCTTGCACTTCTTTCTTCGTGAAGGTTCTGACCACTGGTGAGAGAGTCTCAGGACTGCAACCTCTTTGAGTGACTGCTCTCGCTGAAATAGCTTCACTACCTCCTAGATGTTCGGGTGGCACTTCTTGGCAAGTTTCTTTATCTTGTTGTGCCACCCTTCCAGGTGATTGTTGGTACGGTGGCCTTGGTTTTCGAAATGGTTCCAAATCTCTGGCATGAAGGCCCCTCCTTGAACCCAACTGGTTGTCACGTAGTCCATGAAGGCAGTCACTTTAGGGCCAGCAGGAGAGTCAGCAATGGCATCAAGCCACACATCATCCACTTTGTCACGAGGTAGTAGAGGGAGGGCAGCAGCTCTTCTCACCAGCTTCTTCACCTCCTCATCTTCCTTATAGTCCATCACCAGACCTTCTTTCTGCACCCTCCTCCAGATACATTGGGTGAAGTGAAAGAAACACCCTCTAACTAATGTCCCAGGAAATACATCAGTCACGGCATTGTGAGCTGCACGTTCAAAGTCCAACTAATGTGGGACACTCATTTAAAGGTATCTCTAAAGAACACCACGCTTAGTAATTTAAATGTGGGACACTCATTTAAAGGTTTCTCCAAAGAACACCACGCTTAGTAACTTAAATGTGGGACACTCATATAAAGGTATCGGTAATCGGATTAAGTAATTACCCGCTAGAATAGGTGAAATGCACTCAGCTGAAAATGTGGCTCTACCGGCAATAGCCATTTCTGAAATGTGGCTCTCCCGGCTAGACACCGTATCGCACAGCTTGTTCAAATTTTAAATGATTTGTGATTCAGTCTAACGGTTGCGTACAGGAGAAATCATATTTGAATAATAGTATGAATAGAAGGAGTTTTTGCTGTTTGTATTCATGTTTCGACATGATGTTGAGCTGATAAGCCATTATAATATTGTTATTCATTCTCTGGAATGAATGTTGGTTGACATGTTGTCACTGATTTTTACAGGTAGCGAATTCTAGTCGCTGTTGGTTCTCGGTGAACTTAATATACTGTAAACCCTCCGGTATTATCGCTATTGCATTCATTCAGGGAACACGGTCCCAGAGCTTTTCTTACCTCGGTTGTTACGTGTCGGAAAATAGTAAAGTGTATGGGTGTGTTTTTGGTTGGTTATGACAGTTGTGTGCAAGTGAGGACTGAGCATGTATTGATGTTGTCGTAAACTTGGCGGTGTATTGCACAACGCGTTCGACTTTTAAATATGTTGTGTTATTCAGTGTTTAAAGGAGGGAAAAGGTTTTGGTCATGTTTTTAGCTTTGTTTAGGGTGCATGACTTACAAAAACTCATCTGAATCTGTCCAAGGAAAATATTTTCAATATCGATGAATGTTCTCCATATAGACTACCAAACTATCGAAATTAACGCACAGATCGTAAATGTGATTGATTCAGCCCCACTGCAGCATGACATGTACATCTGTGATAATAGGTGTTGTCATGACACAAACATTATTCTAATAGTGAGACGACACACGGTGAAGATCAAGTACTTTCCAATACAACAAGTCCATGTAGACCATCACTGTTTAAAAATGACATTGTGTATATATCCTCATTAAGACCTCTTGTAAAATACCGGCAAAAAGGCCTCATTCCAAACATGTCACATTTAGGCTACTGTAATTTATATTACCATGGTCTCGCATTCGAATTCCCATGGCCAGTAAGCTTACAAAATATCACAGTATCATCAGAACTCTAGAATACTCCTTATACAAGAGCCGGGCAGAGTAGGAAGCCTGCGCTTGTCACTAGAGGCGAAAAAAATGGTCGCTGACAGTACCAATCACTTGTTTGTCTGGTCCAGATTCAATGATGCACAAGCCGCCTGCGTGTAGCTTGAATATTGAGTGCGGCGTTGAAAAAAAATCAAACAATTTCAGAAACGGTGTGACCGTTTCACTCGTGGATCCTGCAACGGACTACCATTCCACTTCGTGCTGCACGTGCATCTAGAAAACATTATGTGTGGTGTTGCTCTAGGCGTTTGGGAATCCGGATAAAATCATGATCAGTTAATGTTTTCACAGGTTATAATTATATTATTAACCTATGATGTTAGTTTATCTTACATAAATGTCTTACCAACATTCAATCTGCAACTTTGACAATCATTTTTCATATCGTTTGCCCATCAGCACTCTGTACGGTTTAGCTGTAATCTTTAAAACAATCTATAATTTATAAATGATATAATAAAAGTCATAGCTTTTGAACAAATCGTTTACTTTATTGAATGGATAATTTTACATATATAATCTCAAAAGAACGAGGACGACCCGATTCTTTCACATTACTATAGTAACGTGGAATAGTATAAAACCACATTGTTAAGCACAGTAACTGTACAATGCCGTGTACAATATTTTAATATCGTCCGAGAAATTTGGATCCAACGATCTTGTAGGTCACACGGAAAATGTTGGAACTTATTTGCTTCTTTTGGTTTGGCTGTTGGCCTCCAACATAAAGCACCATCTCACCTGGAAATGAAACAGTGTCAAACTACAGAGAAGTATTTTCATGATTTTGATTGTGTACACAAAGGTAAATTTCACCAGAGACACAGGTGCTCTCATCTTCAACACGATTTTAACCGGCGAATGTGCTTCATGATCTATTGCCCATTTAAAGTATACCATGTAGGCCTAGAAGTTGTACATAGTGACTTTTGAAGAAGTGACACATTGCCTCTTTGTCACAATGGTGATCATTAAGGCAGACAGTACAAAAGGATGTTTGGACGAACTGAATTAAACTTGTTAGATTGGTCCCTGTCTTTTCTCATTTTTCAGGAAACAATGATTAAGTTCTGACGAGAGAAAAAGTAAATAATATTCATGACAAAACAACGTTGCT